GTCGCTCACTGATGACTTCATCTTTTGGCGACACAGGCGGAAAGGGAAGGGAAATTGGGATAAAACAAAAGTTGGAAGCTCGGGCTATGCATGCGCGGCACTTTCCCCGCGAATAGTAAGCTTGTGTATCTGGATACTCATTAGATACTATGGAAGCGATGACAACTACTACTCGGACAACTGAACATAACACCGACAATGCAGCTATGCAACGGGCATACAGGGTATTTGGGTGCAGGTGGTTGTGAAAGTCAAGGAAGTGCTTTGGTAAGCGGGGAACATAAAACTCCCGAGAGGATAACTAAAACGACATGGATATCTTGCAGGAAGAAGTGACGATATCTGATCTCTTCAGGTATGGGTATCATATTTTTCGCAAATGGAGAACAAAAGTCGAAGAAGGAATTACGTCAGATAGATGGGTCTGCATCAACAACCCTGTGCGAGCTCTTCCTCCATCATACGAGCCAAATCATCATCATCAGCATCGCGGTGATCGGAGGGTTCGATGCGACCGGCTGACGCAAGCCCGGAGGCGGATAGGTTGCGGATCCGTTCGGCGGCTTCCTCCCCCATTGTTTCCAGGGCCTGGGGCCCACCGCCATTGCCGCAAAAGCCTTGCCGTGAGCGGAGACTAGTACTGTGGCGGTCGACCGCGTCAGCATCCGTCAGCCAAGCGTACTTTTTGCTGCGAAGGGATTGGAGCATCTCTGCTTGACGCTGCTTCTCCGCTAGGGTTGGGCTGGCCGTGTCCGGTGGATCGTCAGCAGTCAGGTCGATCGTCACCGGTTCGCGTTTGGGCGGGCTGGGAGCGATGGGGCGATGGAGAGATGCTGCGGGGTCGAGATTTGCAGAACGAGCTGGAATCACAGTAACACCGCCGGGTATTGGGGCAATGGCTTGCTGATTCGGTGCAGGCTGGATCTTATGGGGAGGTTTGTACCCATTAGGAATCCCCGCGACCGCCGGCGTCTGCTTCTGTACCTGGATCTCATATAGCAGATTGTTATAGACAGTGCCAAGGTCATGAAGCTTGCTCTTCCATTCATCCGCCTCTTTTTTGTATCGTTCCACCCTGTTCTGATGCTGAGTGCAAACCCGTCGCAGCATAGCATTCTGTTCGCGGAGCAATTCGTAGTGCGTCTTTCCCGTTCGCCTGTCGATCGTGCTCATTTCCGTTATATGATCCAGTTTAGTCCTCAGCTTGTGTCGCTCCACTGAAAGCTGCTGCACCCGGTTTCTCAATGAGGTCAAGCGAAAGTTGGCCTTATCCTCTGCGACCTCAATATATTGGACATGAATGTTGGGAGCAGACGGCAGGTAGCCCAGAGGCCCGGCGTAAGTTGGATATGGTGATACGTAAGGTGGCTCTTCGTGCACCCGCTGTAGAATCTCCCGGCTTGTGCAGTCAATCAGATCTTGGTCGTCGATAGAGAACCGGTCTTTTGTGATCTCGCTGATTGAAAGCGTATCCTCAGGGGCGATGTTGACATTAGGAGGTGCCTTGACTCTGGCCAGCTCCTGGCTTAGCTCATGAAAGTCAAAGTCAGGCAGTCCATCATAGGAAAGCTCCATGGGAACATCAAAGGGTGAATCCTCAAACAATGAACCAAAAGCTTCGAACAAGGCCGCAGGCGTTGACTGCTGGTCAGGATCCGATGGCGTGTGAGGACCAGTTCCGGTTCGATCAGGCTGCAAGGCCGAGTCGAGAGAAGACAGTGACGGTGTTTTGTCTGGCGTTATGGTAATTTCATCCCGGATTGATTCAAGAGCCTGCCTTTTCGAGGCCTGCTGCCAGAGATCTGGTTCCTCAAATGCTTCCGCGCCAGCTCGCTTGCGTGAATCGAACGCGGCGTCAAGCTCATGAAACATCAGCTCAGAGTCGAACAAAGGATCGTACAAGTCCTCCGCTGTCTCCGTGGATGGCGCAGTAGGCGAGTCATGAAGGTCCAGCTGGGGCGCAGTCGTTGCCGATGAGTCTTCAGACAGGCGCGATGTACTTTGCTCGCTTATTGCGTGTTCAGTCCCTTCGTCTCTCAAGTCCGTTGTGGTATTCTTGGGTCGGTCCGTGGGTGTGGGCGCAATGTGCTGGTCGACCGAGGTGGATATTGCTTCTTCAACGGACTGGCCGTGTTCTCCATTTCGGGCGGCATCGGGGAAGCGCTGCAGTTGGGACCCAGGGGAAGGTGTAAGCCCCGGATCATTCACATGCAGATGAGAAATACATGGGGGAGACGGAAGAACCTCGAGGGCAGGAAGCCTCTGAGAATCCGCAGGGCAGGTCTGGAGCGAGGTAGAAATACCTTCAGCCATGCTTCCACTCAGCTCAAGAGAGCTCTCAATAACGTTGATAAGGGGGAAAGCTAGGCAGCGAGAACTCTGATGGCCAGGTTCTGCGCGCCTAGAAGACAGCCGTGAGATGCTGTTGTGGTGGTAGGGTAGCGTGGAAGTGCTGGTGATCTCGGGACTCAAAGTCCAAGAATGCCCGCCATCGATCGCGCAGTGGCTATTGAGAATGAAAATGAGAAACTTGTCCCTTTCAAGCGTCTGGTCACAAAGATAAAGACTGCAATCCGTACCTCCTTTAGGCGCCGAGTCACTATACGAACATTGACGGGATCGTAAGACGCATAGTAGTCCGGGCGAAAACTCGGAGTCTCGACGAGAAGTGTTCAGATCTTGTTGATCAGGCTGAGCCAGAGACTGACACTAGGCACGTAGCCTGCCAAATATCAGACAGGCGCCTAAGTCACTTTTGAAGCAAACAAACTGCGTGGGTTGCAGCTGTCGACGTTTGGATAGATGAAATGGAGAAGATCAACGCCGCTTTTTTTGATCCCTTGCCTGTCTTACCGCCTTTACCACCGCTCAGTTGACCGCCCACGTGCCCGTCCTGACCTTGATGCAGCCTTAACATAGATCCGGCAGGAAGCCGAGCGGCTTCGGATGGCTGACTGACCTTCCATGTTCACCAGCTCCCGAGTCCTTGTCCCTCCATACTCTTTCCACCACCGTTCAGTTTTGTTCCTCCCTTTGCGCGTCTTGAAAATGAGCGTCATTCTTTGCACCGGTAAGCGATAAGACTTGCAATCTTTCAATAGACATGCTTTCTTCCATACAATCAACTAACCAATAATCCACAAATTTGCGACAATCAGCGGGTTACGACCACACTATTCGGTATGGACATGACGGTCACTGCATCTGAAGTAAGCGCTGTCGCTAACCACTTTCAGGTTCTGGGAGGCACTGTCCGGAATCTGTTCGCGCACAATTCAGCATCCAGATTCACAAGTGAACCGTCTCTGCATCACGCCAGACAAGCGGTTCCTGGCCGCCGCTGGACACAACAATGTCAAACTGTATGACATCAAGTCTACCAATCCCAATCCGGTCATGACCTTCGATGGCCACACGAATAACATCACGGGTGTCGCGTTTCATTGCGAGGGAAAGTGGATGGTCACCAGTTCCGAGGATGGCACAGTCAAAGTGTGGGACACGCGCACCGGCAGTTTGCAGCGCAACTACGCCCACAAAGCCCCAGTGAACGACGTGGTCATCCATCCCAACCAAGGCGAACTCATCAGTGGAGATCGCGCCGGTATCGTTCGTGTCTGGGATCTGGGAGAGAGTGTCTGCACCCACCAGCTGATCCCCGAAGACGACGTCGCCGTGCATAGTGTGAGCGTTGCTAGCGACGGGTCCCTCCTTTGCGCAGGCAACAAGAAGGTACCCATTCAGCCCCCGTACACATACGGATTCAGATTGGCAGCAGACTCATCACTATGAATCCAGGGCAACGTCTACATCTGGCGCATGATTCAAGATGCCGAGCTCACCCGCATTGTCCCCATTTGCACCTTCCAAGCACACAAAGACTACCTTACCCGCGTCCTCCTCTCCCCGGACGTCAAACACCTAGCAACATGCTCAGCAGATCACACCGCCAAAGTATGGAATCTTGACCTCGATTACCCTCCCGCGAAGATGGCCGCCGCCAAAGCCAAAGCCCAGGCGCTTGCGGCACCCGAATCATCATCATCTCCGACATCGACACCCGACAGCCAAGACCCTTTGTCCCCCAACAGCAATAAATCAGAGATTGAAATCAACCCTCTCAGTCTTTTTGACGGTACACCGCCAATTGTCAACAACGAGCCCCAGCAAACTTTCCCCGTCCAGCCAGACGGTCCTCCTATGGACCCCGCCACGGGCACTCTCTTCCTCGAAACTACGCTTGCGAACCACCAACGTTGGGTCTGGGACTGTGCCTTCTCCGCCGACTCTGCGTACCTCGTCACCGTATCTAGTGACCACTATGCGCGTCTGTGGGAGCTGGCATCGGGACAAATCATTCGACAATATAGTGGTCATCATCGCGGGGCGGTATGCGTGGCATTGAATGATTACTCCGAACCCCGGTAGATCTGCTTTCCGAATTCGAGGAATGGGAGAAACCGCGTTACAACGACCGATCTTCGCTATCCGTCCGCTTCGTGCTGTCGTTCGCATCTTTCCAGGGGGCTTTGTGGGTTAGCATGGCGCTAGGTATTGATTTCACTGATTTGACTCGACTTGGGCTTGATTTGACTGTATTGTGGATGGGCGTCTGTTTTGCCTTCTATCATTTGGGAGTTTCCAGGAGCTATGTGCGCTTATCTCTAATTTTGGGATGTTGAGAGCAAGACCTTTCGATTCAAATACCACATGCGAGTTTATTCGATACTTGGGAGAGAAATCTGCTACATCTGTAGGAATATATCCTCAAAATTCAATTATTACAACAAGACCATGGTATCACTCTCCAGTCTCTCAGCACAACAAGAATCACGGCTTCCCAAAAAAAAAAATTAACCTCGCAATTCCAAGAAGAAGGTAAACCAGAACACAGTGCCAATTCCGCTATAATTGATATAACCAATCAACGCGCGATAGCTCTCGCTGGTAGATAACCAATATGACCTTCAAAATGTCACAATATATCAACTCGTGCAAGTCCTCCTCCTCCACTCCTATGTTGCAAGACTGGCGATTCAACCCAGTGCAAACCACGTCACACTGACAACAACGTCCAGGCCCCTCTCCTCGGCACCAGGGTATTTGAATGTCCACATCCCGTCCCGGTTGACGTCCCAGAAGGCGCCGGAAGCGGAGTGCATTCCGCGCTTGCCGGCATTGGCGGTGGTACCGTCCGCAGCGGCGGACTTGTCGATCAGGCCCTGTTGGACAATGGTGCTGTTCACGACGAAGCGGTAAGGGGGAGAAGACGAGGCGGTGGAGGGAGCCGTGGCGCTGATCAGGGCTTTGAGGATAGTGTTCTGGGGCGGGCCAGGTAGCAACATGGTTAGTCTTGGGTTTTGGCTGGTTGCGCGTTTCGCGCGGTGAATTTAGGGACCGAGAAGAAAAGCGGACATACAATAATGTGCGAGTTCCAGTCTGCGACCCGGGAGTGATCATATTCTGTTACATCCTTGAGGGCGAAATCGCAGGCCTGTGGAGGGTCTGCTGGTTAGTGTGTCGTTGCTTCTGTGCGCTCGGATGCAAGACGTAGGGAAAGGAGATAATTCAGAATTCGGCGACAGTGTGATGAAGGTCAATCGTAGTGGTATTTTCGCGGGGCCGGTTTCACTAATTCCAGCTGATGCTATCCGGGATGCATACCTCGGTGGCTATCTTGGTCAGTTCGGAAGTGGCCACGGGCTAGAAGTGAATTGTTAGCAGTGGATTCGTTTGCCGGTCTCGTGAGCAGATGATGACAAGCCGCCCTCTAAGATATTGAATGCATAAGGGGAAGTTGGAGACGTACAGAAGACGTGGGAACGGGTTCGACGGCCATTGTGATTAAGCAAGTTGATTGAACCGTTTACTGAAGGTAAGTTTCGATGTCTTGATTAGCGTAGTTCAGAAGAGGGGAAAGCTAGAAGCTCCGCGGTGTCTTGTCTGGGTCGAGACGGTGGGCACGACCACGGGACGCTGGAGAGGTGCTTGTGGGGTGGGTAAGTGAGGGACAGGGAAGCCAGGAATGTGGCTCCGCAAGACGGGGGGGGAGAACGTCAGACTCTCTGCCTCTCTGACAAACTGGAGGGGAAATAGGGCTGGCTCCGACTAACCAAATGCGAACTTCCAACTATTGCATGCAGGAGCACACGAAGGGATCTAGAAAATGAAAGAGTGAAGCAAGAGAATGAGAGAGATCCTTCCACGCTGTTGTTATCAGGAGGGTCGTTTGGATGTTTGGAAACATGCAACTTAGTTGAGGCGGCATCATAAGTGTGGCTTTGCGGACTGCTGGTTGGCTGTGTCTGACAGTCCGCTAGGCCGTAAAGAGACAAGAGAAAGAGCTGCTTACCCATTATGGAATAGTCCCGGTACCACCGCCACAGTTACCGGGGCATTGATGATCCGAAACAATAGAAGTGGCCAATGGAGACCTGAGGCTATCAATCACAGCAAACAGTTGGAGCACGTGCGCGCTATCTGGCGGTGGGCATGGGCAGAACAGAAGGATGCGCCACCGCTACGGCCGCAACGGGGAAGGTGTCGGCCGTCAAAGGCGCGGGGACCTCGTCCCGGGTTCGAATCACCGCCCGTCCTCTTAATACCGGTCTCATATTACATCAATGCCGTCGTCGTCTTCTTCCTCGCTCCAATCCATCTAGTAAAGAACTAGCCAGTGCTATCTTGGCCTAGCCCCTTCGTTTGGCCTCCTCGTGCGCCAGACTAGAAACCTCAATTGAAGCTCGGCTCTGCTTCTTTTTTCTTTTTTTTTCTTTCCCTCTTTCCTCTCCTCTCCTCTTTCTCATCTTTCACCCTTTGCTCAACCTCAGCATAGCTCCCATAGCCATCCTCCCTTGCGGGCTCAGACTACCAACAACACCTACTCAAGTCCTACCACACCCAAATCCCTGCCATTCCACACGATGTCGAGTCAGCCCCTCCTTCAAACCGCTCCTGGTCAGTGAAACATTTTCTTTTGATTCCAGCAGCCACCAATGCTATTTAGCTTCACTGTCCAGTGGCTAACGAAACCTCCAAAGGCAAGCGCATTGCCCTGCCCACTCGTGTCGAGCCTAAGGTGTTCTTCGCCAACGAGCGTACCTTCCTCTCCTGGCTCAACTTCACCGTCATCCTCGGCGGTTTAGCCGTCGGTCTCTTGAACTTCGGTGACCGCATCGGCCGCATCTCCGCAGGCCTGTTCACCGTCATCGCCATGGCTGCCATGATCTATGCCCTGGTGACCTTCCACTGGCGGGCGCAGAGTATACGTAAACGCGGCCAGAGTGGCATCGACGATCGGTTCGGACCGACCGTGCTGGCGCTGGCGCTTCTGGCCGCTGTGGTTGTGAACTTCATTCTGCGCATGACGGAATAAGAAGAGGACTCTGTGACGAGAGGTTGGTTGGATTTGTTATGACCTGGGGAGCATTGACGAGATGAGACGGCACTGTTCCAGAGTGCAAACCTGAATGGGGTCCTTGGATGACGGAAAGAAAAACAAACTATGTGAATGACTTAAGTAGAAGGTAGATCTATTTTCGTTTCGTTCGATGTCGGTGCTGGTCACTGATTTTGTCTATGGCGTTGACAGTGTTGCTTTCCCAATTGATACATGCTGCTTTATGTTTTGTCTCTGTATGACTCCGGGATGAAATTGAGTCGTGGTTAGGTGACTTTTTTGGCGCGCCCTGGATTATCATTGATCTTAAAGCTTGTTTCGGGCAGCATTTCTACCTACGCTTTGGTCATATGCCGTACATGTTGGGCTCTAACATGGATCCAATTGACGAGACCCTGCAACTTGCATCACTCAGGCGCGATTGGGCGGGAATGTGGGATAAAAGCTGGAGGTGGTTGTTCTTATGTTCTCAATTTGTGATTAGTTCCGCTTCACTTTTGATCGTGCCTTATACCAAATATTACACAGTTTCAAGCTCGCTCTCGCGGCTTCTACAGTCATAGTCATACTCTTTACTCGGTGCTTAGGCTTTCACCACAGTCATCAATGGCCACCAACCCCTATTTCAATCAATCTACTGCATTGTAATAACCTACTATAGCTTCCCACAGCAACCTGCACATTCGTGTCAGGGCGGTTGGAGGTCATCGTATGGATATGGGCCAATACCATGGTGTATCATCAAGTAAGACCGTGCCCTCAAGGCCGTCCGATGCATGCAAGGTTCGTGTTGTGATGTACGTCGCCTGGCCAGTGCGGTGGGAGCTTAGAGCTGTCTGAACGGTGATTGGCCTTGCTTTACGTTAATTGGCACACGAGCCCTTCCCAGGATACCTAGTAGCTTGGACAGATCCATGATAGCACTATCTCTATCTTGGCCAGAAGGGTGGAGGTAATGTCAACGATAATGTGCATAAATAAGAGATGCGTTCTAGTCGCTGAAGTATAGGATGAGGGGATCATTCATCCGTGTGGCACATTGCATAGAATATGCAATAAAAACAGATTAGACAGTCGATTATCACTTAGTATCTCCCTTTATGGATCCATCTTCGCCTAGAGTCGTGGATACCCTCATGGAAGAATCAGGAATCAGTGCGAGATTGGCGGGATTGGGCAATGATGTGATAGTATCATTGGAAGGGATGATTGAGATGTTCTTTCCGATGCGCAGGCTGCAAGACGAATCTCAAAAGTAAAAATGCAAGATGCCCTAGTGATAGTGGATTGTGGTTTGCTGGGCTGTCTAGCTAATGCTGGCCGTAGGCATTGGCCGGGGTGCGGGGAAGAGAGAGAACTTAAGAGAGAGAGAACTACGTGTATGGAAGCAGCTAAGTTAAGAGTAGCTATACTTATGTCGTCGCGCAACTGATCATTGCACAGAGCATGGCAGTCACACGTGCATGGCTAGTATTTTGGTGTCAGGCTTGTTTGTGTGTCCCTGAACGGTGGTAGGGGAGCTGTTCTTACAGCGACTTGGTTGTGAAAAGATGAAGGAGAGCTCCACTGCCCGTCTATCGCATATGTCACACACTGCGCGAGTCATGGCATGCTCCTATATTTATTAGCTTCCTGTGACGGTTGCTAGCCTACAGAGTTTGTCGCTTCAACTCCTTGAGTAGCTCTCCTCTCCATTGCCACACGACGATTGCAGCTCAGGAGACTCCCTTGGACAATATAAGTGCCCTCTCAAATGGCACTCGAGTTACTGGGCCCGGGACAGGGAGAGAGATAAGTTAATTTTGAGGTGCAGTATGTATGGCCGACGATTTGGGTCTCAGAAAAAAGGGACGCTACAACAAAAGTTGTCACACCACGGATTCCGACCATTGAACGTTATTCTAGAACACATCACAGAGCACACTAGAATGTCCACCATTCGCGGAGGATTCGGAAGTGCAGCAACCCTCCAGTGATAGCGGCCCCAACACATGGGCAGCCAAGCACTAGGTTATGCCGACGCGATCATAGTGAACTCAATTGCGAACTATATTGGGCTAAAGTGGAGCACGGAGCAAAGGACGGCGCGGGTGACGACGAGAGTGGATGATGTAACGACACCGCACGGCGGGCAAACGCGACGATCAGGTCGATCTATCATACGAGGGGGAAGGAGGGGGGGCGGGTGCAGACGGGCAGGAGACTTGACGGCGAGAGGAAAGACAATAACCATGTGTGACAAAGCTAATTCAGAATAGATGAGATCCGAATCCATGGAACAAGCAAATATGGCTCACTGATGGGCCTGTTGATGAGGGGTGCATGCGCTGCACTGTTGACATCGCGGTAAGCGAGTCTTCCTTTGCATTGGTCTGGGGTGTGAAAAGAGAAGTATGAGAGAGAGAGATAGAGACAGACGTACCGGTATGCTTCAAGAACCGGGTATCTGAGGTTACTATACGATACAGTGGTTGTACTCGTACTTTGTGGTAGGTCTTGCGGTAGGTAGCAGGCTAGCAGCAAGCCGCAGCAGCAGCAAAGCAAAGCAAAAGCAACAGCAACAGCAACAGCAACAGCAGCAACAGCATGGAACAGAGAGAGCAGCATCACTTCAACTGTTTCAGGAATAGTGGACAATTTAGCGCAGGCGGTACCCCGGCCATCCATGGACCAGTCCAGGCCCAGGATTCTTCGATTCAGGCTCCACTCGTCTGGTTTGGAAGTTCAGGCAGTCATGGATGATGATGGATGATTCGACCTGTATGGCAGACTCACCACAATATTCATCAACACAAGCAGCTTCTCGCATGGAACAATAAGTCGAAATCGTGGGGACTTGCAGCTGGGCTGTAGGCTGCTAACGATCTCATAGGTTGATGGGGCGAGTTGAGCAATGGTACGGGGTACGGAGTACCAACAGAGTCAGTATCAGAGGATGTATCAGTAAATTCAGTAGTGGACAGAGTGCGCAGAGTAGAAAAGTGGACACCCCACCCCGGAGTGAATTAAGGCGGTAAAACCCCCTCCCTCCTCTCTCAGACTCTGAGACTCTCAGTAAAAGTAGTGGACCGAGTGAGTATGAGTAGTTAGTGACGATGATGAAAGAAGAACCCCATTTCCCTCTCTTCTTTAGTCTTTTCTCTCCCCTCTTCTTCCCTTCTTTCTCTACCAGTGCCAGTACTCACTCTAAAATAAGTCAATCATCAATCAATAGTAACTAACCTAACACTAACTAACTTGAATCACTAACAAAACAACAACACATTCGCTCTCTTCTCCCCTTCCCCCTCCTCCTTCTCTCCTCTTTTTCTTACTCTTCTAGTCGTTTGTGTTCCTGTTCTTGTTGGTTATTTTTTTGGTCGTTGTTTATATCATCGCCTCCCTTGAACACCTCTGTGAATCCCTCGATTTCCGCCCTCTTCTCCCAGCTTCTTTGTTATTCCCTCGACTGCTCTCTCTCTCTCTCTCCACACCATTATTATCCATCCTCAACCAGCTTTCTTCATCATTGCCAAATAACCTTTCACGTTGCTTAAACCGGTTTGGTCCCTGGTCGGAAGACAATCTTCGCCTGGTCCACATTCATTGGACTCTGATTCCTCCCTCCCGTTTTAGGTTCCTGTTTACAGACCATTATTCTTATTGCTCTGCATCCTTTCAAGGTGGTGGTGAATCCTGAATCGTGCTGTTGAGGGAGCTATTCTGGACTGGATTTTTTTTTCAAATTCAAACAATCCTCTCCTTGTCCAGCTCTTTTCCTATCTTCTCTCACTTTCATCCTCTCCTACTCCCTTATCCCTCCCCGTCAACATCTTCTTCCTCTCTCTTTCTCTTCCCAAGGCTGCGCCCTCAACTTTTCTTCTACTATCCAGGCAACAAGCCAAAAAGAAGTGACCCAACCCACTGGACGCATCAACCTTGCTGCTTGTATCCCTCCACTCCCCATTATTAATAGATTACGCCACTGCCCACTGCCCACTGCCCACTGCCCGAGTGTCCCTGGAATTTGCCTCCCGAGCGTCAATCGCCGCGCGCCTGCTTCCAGGTTCCCTTTTCTGTCGCAGCCTGCCTGTTGCCTTCCCGTCTTACATGTGACCTCAACTGGGAAAAAAAAGAAGAGGAGGAAACAACAAAGTACGGATACGCTTCCCAACTCCGTATTCTTATTATTATATGATCATTATTATCCGTGTCATTATCATTCCCCGTTATCGTTCTTCGGCTTTATTCCCACCCATTCCCTATCACCACTAACTAACCTACCATCTCTTGCGCCCTACCTTACCTGACACTCTTCTTCTATTCTACCTACTTACCCTTATCACACCGACCACTTCTGCAACTACTATACCTACCTTACTACTGCCACTACTACTACTACTACTACTACTACTACTACTACTACTACTACTACTATCTAACTACCTTCCCACCCACCCACCCAACTACTCTAACCTACTGCAACTGCTATTGGAATATCCTCCTTGTCTGGGTCGATTACGCTATCAACAAATCAATTTGAACAATTTCCTCCCTCCCATCACCGCGTGGTGCATTCTTACTACCTACCCTTCGGAGCTTCCGGCATCTGTCTCTTTTTCGTTGGGGTAACCTTCTCCCTCCCTCTGACTCTTGCCTTCCCCCCCCCCCCTTGCTGGGTTTCATCCGGTCGCAAACGACCTGTCCGACCGATCGGCAGCGACACGCATTCCCTCGTTGAGCGCTTCGCTCTACTTCACTTTCTTCTCTCCTCTCCACATTTAGATCGGTCGCATTTCGCATACACTGGTGTATGGTCTTTCAGCGGAGCATATAATCAATCCTTGATTCGTTCGTGCGCACTCTTCTCTCGTCTAACAAACCCTGGCGCATTTGTCGCAACGCAAGTCGCAAACCACAAGGACTTGCGACCACAACTCGCATGGCATGTTTCGGCTGCTACCCTGGTCCTCTGCAATTGGGGGAAACAAGGTGATGGCGGAGGAGCTGAAAATGCTTGCGACTCCGCCATGCCCTGCGCCTGGCGTCAGCGCCATCCCTCTGCCTCAGTTGAAGCGCAAGCGCTCAGATTCCACGGATATGACGCCTGATCAGGATGCTCCGGTCGCGACCAAGCTGCGCGCAGAGAACGCACCGTGCGGCTCTATCGCCATCAAGCAGGATATCTCGTCAGCCGCCACCAACACGGATACTGTGTCATTCGAAGCGCCCAACAGTCTTCCGATAAATCCGCCGCCCCCTCCCCCAAGTCAGGGCGCATCTGAACCACCTGCGGTGACCAAGAACACCGGCTCACAGAAGGTGGATGTGGACACGCTGCGTGAAACGCTTGAAGCCCAACTGAGCTTGGAGGTGTTGTTAAAGCACAACGAACTTCGGTTGATCGACCAGGAAATCGCAAAGTGTCAGGTCGCGTTGGAGCAACTGCGCCGATGCGCAGAGATTCCTTACCCGGGTTCGAATGTGGCGGGTTATTCGCCAGCGGTCAGCAGCGGAACGGGCATGGCAGTGTGGGCTCCTGAAAATGGGCCTGCGCCATTGTCTCCAGCACCCTGGGGTGTCACTGACGGCCCGTACACTCGCCATCTTGCAAGATGGCTAATTCCAGATCCTCGTTTTGATGGCGGTGAGCCTGAACCTGCTACGCCTATGACTGGCGGCCATGCTAGTCCATGGACTGAAGGACGCTCGACTCGTGGAAGCTGTGGGGATCTGGGGTACGTTGCTAGTAAGACGCGACCGCAACGAGGCACGGGTGGGAGACTGCAGTCTCTACCTAACGGCTATCCGCAACCAAAGGACAAGACTGGGCCAATGCTCATCCGACGAAAATCGGATAATCTACTCGTCAAGCTGGTGTGTCTGGATTGTCGCCGGGACAATTTCTCTAGCACGCAGGGATTCATCAATCATTGCCGTATCGCGCACAGCCGAAACTACGCAAGCCATGAAGCGGCGGCAGTTGAGTCGGGCGAACCTGTGGAAGTGGACGAGGCTGGCGCAGTAATAGGCGGCAAAATCGAAACTTCCAGCCCGGCCACAGCTGGTTTCATTCATCCGTTGATTCGGTCGGCGCATGTCATTGAGCCCCTTCCCAAGACGCCTACACCTGTATCCGACGCCACTGTGACTCCTCGGAGACGATTGAGCCCTGTTCGACAGACTCCCTCCGGAGTGGAGACGCCTCGAGGATCTAGCGCTGATCAAAAGACAATGCCCGCTACGGAAGGCAACGGTCCATTCATGTCTTCCCCTGCGACTCCTCATTTGTCGAATCTGATGAAGCTTCGGGGCGTTGCGGTTGACCTAGAACAACTGGTCGGAGATGCCAAGACTGTGGTGGACTTGAATGACTATTCCGATGATGACGATGGCGAGTCAGACGCCGGGTCCGTGCAACCTTCGGCGGAGATGAGTCAGGATCAGACACCGCTGGGAGCCCGTGCGGGCAGGCAACCGATGCGCACGACAGCCTCGCAGGCGACAAGCCGGCGCCCCGGTAGCCGAAAGGGACTGGATTCCCTGAATCACACGCCTCCACCCCTGCAAACCTCAACACCCACCCGGCCTACTGATTACCAGTCGCCGTATCCTTCCATGTCTTGTCTTCCCCAGGGCTCGCAGAGCTCCACTCTGCGAGAACTAGAAGGGACAGAACAAGCCTCAAATCTCAGTCCGAACACAGCCGAGTCAAATCAAGCCCCGAGTCTCGTGAGTGATGACGATGATTACGGGGATGTGTCGGATTCGGATCCGGGGCCTAGTTCGTCTGAAGCAGGCGATCATGATGAAGACCTGGGCCATATTGATGTCGAAGATGGCGACGAGAATAGCGCGCGATCGGCTGCTGCGACTCCGGCGAAGCCAGATATAGGGATGGCAAGCACGGGGACACCCCGGGCACCACCATTATCGAAGTCGCTGCGACGTGGCAGTATCAAAAAGAAAGACCGACTTATGGCGCCATCAGTGGTTCCTTCACGCGGCAAGGAAGAGAAGCGGGTGAGCTTTGTTAACCCCGACTCGAAACCTGCCAAGGGTGACCCAAAGGAGAGTCCGGATGATACACGATAGAACTTCGCTTCATTTCGGGGCTAGACCCTCTGCCTTTTGTAATTCTGCTGTTATATTTCTCCTCTTAACCTTTCATGTATCAGACTTCGGTTCAGTGGATAAATTGTGTGGATGAAGAAATTACGGGATGGATTTTGGACAATTTTGTGCAGAAGTGCAGTGAGATGTTGATGGGAGACGGACTCTTACAGCTTATGATTAGACAACGACGCCATCAATATGCAATACTCAACGGAAATTCTCCTCTGTAGCTCATTTGGTTACTTGGATTGGAAGTGAAGTAATAGATGTATGTGAGACGCAGCAAAGAGAAGATCGTTACCTAAGCATAATCTCCACGTCTGTATTGGTGCTAGCCGTACCACCACCGTGAAGCTTCAAACAACTTGAGTAGGATTGTAGACTTCTATTGTGCCAACTTATTCCGAATCACAATCACCATCACAATGGCCACCCATAAAACCTATGACCCCGACCACATCACGAAGGAAACCTTGCAATCCCTTCTAGCGAGATACCCATCCACCGTGGAATCCACCACGCGGCGCAAAGCCACCACCATCACCACCACCACCGAGAAGAAATCCGCCGCCAGCAGCAGAAGCAGCAGCAGCAGACCCAAAAGCAAATCCGCATCCAAGGATCATACTTCGACCCTCACCGTAACAGAGGACCCCGACGATGCGCCGGCAGCCGTGAAAACCTACCTCGCCCTCGACGAGTTCCGCTACACGACCCTCCCAGATGCAGTCCGTCAACGCGCCTCGACCACTACCGGGGGTGATGGGGAAGGGAGTGCGTATCTCGAGAAGGAGGAAATGGTGCGTTTGGTCGAGTGGAAGATGTACGTCCCCCCCCCCCCTCTTACTACCTAATGCCTTGCTCGATCCATCACGTTTTCCTTACTTCTCTACTTTATATGATCGGGGCTATCCGAGCATAACATATCAACTACCCCCCACCATCAGCTATACTCCATAGCATAACTAAGAGAATGGTCCCAAAGGAAACACGGAAAATTCCGCCCCGCATTACTGGGGATGATCCGCTCGAATCCCGAAAGTCTGGTGCGGGAGGCTACGGCGGAGGCATCTCGATTGCTGCGCACTGCAGAACTGCGGGAGATGTTCCCGGGGACGGCGTTGGAGAAGGTGACGGGCCCGTTGAGGGGGGTTGGGCCTGCGACGGGGAGTTTGGTGTTGTCGGTTTTGTCGTCGGATGATGATGGTGAGAGTGAGGGTGGGGGTGAGGGTATTGGGGTGCCGTTTTATAGTGATGATGTGTTTCTGTGGTTGTGTTTGGGGGTTTTCCCTGGGGGCGATCCGGAAAGGGTGAGGAAGGCGTTTAAGCCTGGGAAGAGCGGGGAGTTGAATGTTAAGTATAATGTTGGGGAGTATCGTGAGTTGTGGGATGCGGTGCGGAGGTTGAGGGGGAGGTTGGGGGTGGGAGTTGGGTGTCTGGAGATTGAGAAGGTGGCGTTTGTGGTGAGGTTTGGAATTGGGGGTGAGGATGGGATGGAGGGGGTGGTGGTGGAGGAGAAGGAGGAGGAGAAGGGGGAGAAGGAGGGAATTGATCTTCAAGACATCCGGGGGAAGAGGAAGCGTGGGAAAATTGAAGAGGAGGAGGTGGAGAAGGTGGAGAGGGAGCAAAAGGTTGGTGTGAGGAGAAGTACCAGAAGGAGAGGAGGAAAGGAGCAACAACGTTAGCAATGATTCAAGTTTAGGATGTATGCATCTATCTGCCTTCCAAGTTCGTATCTGCACCTCCTGCTCTGCTTCCATACTCCATACTTCGCCATTCAAACCCTCAGCTGTGCCTCTTACACAATCACTCCGGCTTCCAAGCCACGGCATGAGATTCCATCAATCATCACAATCAGATTATGACATGAACCGCCCAAGTTGAAAATGTGGCTGCCGTCTTGCGAAGAGGTACAGTACAGCGTACGCTGCATGAAGCCGTGCAGCTGATGCAATCTGAAGGGGGAAAAAAAAGTACAGTACAGTATAGCAGCACTTCTACAAACCCTGTCCCTTTAGATAAAAGATTTATCCGCACTACTAACTATCTATCAGCCTGCTCAGCCTGCCGACGGATGTTCTTGTACAAACCATGGGTACGACGACAGCTGGAACTTTGACAACGAGAATTTCCGCGTGGTTCTCCACGACCTAAACAATCTAGCGTCGCCCCAAGTGGGTTTAAGGGAATCTTGTTTACGTGGGTTCTGAACTGCTGGGGACTATCAGTGGAACACAAGCCAACGAACGACGACCGCTAATGGGGCCGGTTCGGTTCAAACCGACGTTGACTCGTCAGTCGCTTTGCAATCCATGATCGACCGCGTCATGCTGTGTCCACTTGGATTAGGATGGCTCACCTCAACCTTACAAGATGATTCTCTCCGCTGCTGTTCACGAAATGCATTCTCCTCCTGTTCTTCTATCCCAGGTCATTCTATCTCCGACCATAGATGGCCGCACTGCTGGTCTTCTGGGGCTTTCTGCCCTTACTGGCAACGGCCTTCTCATGGCACGGCCTCTGGTATGAATTGGGGTTGTTCGGCCCGCATCCCACGCTGAGCTATGAGTCGGTCGGCATGAAGTCCCCCGAGGTTTATGTGAAACAATGGCATCCCGATTGTGAAGAAGGCTATGTCTTTCTCAGCCCGCGTGGTCATAGCTATCCCGAACCGGGACCCTTAGTCTACGACCACCGGGGGAATTTAGTCTGGATGGAGCGCGCATTCGGGGAGGTCATGGACTTGAAGGTACAGCAGTACCAGGGCCAGGATTATCTCACTTTCTGGGCTGGCGAGTATGATGGCACCCGAGGCATGGGACAGTACTACATGGTGGGCCTTGCCGCACGATGCTCATATGTGATTGCCAGCTGAACTAACCATCTCACGCTCGAATAGCTCAATGCCTCCTACGACGTTGTCCACATTGTCTCAGCCGCCAACGGCCATCAAGGCGACCTGCATGAGTTCAAAATTACCGACCAAGGCACCGCGATCCTGACCATCTACGAAATCTGCCAGGCGGATCTGAGCGCAGTCGGCGGGCTTGAAGACGGCTGGATCTACGACAGCCTGTTCCAGGAGATCGATATTGAGACAGGCGAGCTTCTTTTCGAGTGGCGCGCACGCGATCACTATGCCATCGACGAATCACACCTCCCCTTCGGCGACAAGGGTTCCTCGCCTTCCCCACAGGTTGCGTACGATTACTTCCATATCGATAGTATCGACAAGCATCCCAGGGACGGAAGCTACCTCATATCGTCCCGCTACATGCACACTGTCACCTGCATCAGTTCGACTGGGGAAATCCTGTGGGTGCTGGGTGGGAAGCGCAACACTTTCCGGGATATCTCATCCGATGGCTCGGCCACGGGGTTCACCTGGCAGCACGACGCGCGCTGGCACTCGGACAATGTACTCACCCTGCTCGACAACGCCGCCTACGAGAACGGGTACACCTGCGACCATTCCCGGGGTCTCATGATCCGCCTGGATTTTGCCGACTGGACAGCCGACACCCTCCATGTTTATGACAGCCCAGGCCGCTTCAGCAGCCACTCACAGGGTAGCCTGCAAGTTCTCCCGCGAAGCGGAAATGTGTTCGTTGGCTGGGGGAAATCCTCCGCATACACCGAGTTCAGCACCGACGGCGACCTCCTCTGCGACTTCCATTGGGGCCCCCGGGTCTTCTTCTGGCTTGGGTGGACGAAGTCGTACCGTGCGCAGAAATCCCACTGGATAGGGCGACCGCGCAATCCGCCAGACGTCGAGGTAGATGAGACGGCGCACACGGCGTATGTGAGTTGGAACGGGGCGACGGATGTGGCAGGCTGGGTCTTGCAGCGGGCCAGCAATGGCAGTGCTCCGGAGGAGGAGTTCGAGAGCGTCCAGTACGAACCGAAGGAGGGGTTCGAGACGACCGTCGAACTCGTGGGGGATGGTTACTTTCGGCTGGTGGCGGTGGATTTCGAGGGTCATCACATGGGGGCGACGAGGGTGTTCGAGGCGTTTGAGAGATGGGTATGTTACGTTATTTGTTGCTTCCCGCTTTCCTTCCCGTGGCCTGGGATGCTGACCACGAGAATCACAGAACACCGCCGAAACCATCCGCTCGTCACTCTCCATCTTCTCCGAGGGGGTCTTCCAATGGACTCTGGTGGGAATCTGTGCCACGGGAGCCTTGTCGACAGCCGTGTGGACGGGGCGAAGACAAATACAGGAGACGTTCCGCTCATTTTATGGGGGAGTAAAGTCTTACTGGGGCGTCATGAAGTATGAACTTGCATTTTGAATTTCCGCATCAATCCGATACCCATTCTTCATCTGTTTAATCATCAAAAACACCAGAGAGCATTGCGCAGATTAGACATAACATAACATAATATCACAGGTTCTTTCATAGGTAGTACATACAGATCCATCCAATCCTTGAGGTCGTACACCAACACAACAGCAGTATTACATCCCAGGTACACTCCCCACAATCAACACCCATAGCTTCGACAGCCCAATTCATCCGGTTTTAAAAACCCCACACCCCCAAAACCACCGCCGCAACCCCCAACCCCAGCTCCAATCCAGCACCGGCCGCCGCCCCGGAAGACTCGAGCGCCGTGGCCGTGGCCGACGCGGCGGTCGTCTTGGCCGCGGTGGTGGTGGGCGCGCTCGTCTTGGTCGCCGACGAGGTCTTGGTCACCCTGGTGGAGGTCGAGTATAGCAGCGAGTTGGCCTGCGCCGCGTTGCAGTAGGGCACCTGTTGCTGGGTGACGGTGTAGCGGCCCGGGTCGGAGGGGCAGTCGTTGTAGCAGCTTTTAGGCAGAGAGAGAGAGCGAGAAAGGGTTAGCTTTGTATGGAGGGTAAGTAGTGGAGAGTGTAGGGCTGGATAATCTTTTGGTTTGGGATTGCGGTATGGCGTATAGGTCTTGGCGGGTGGTGGGTGGTAGGTGGGCTTATAGATGTATGTACGGTATCCAGCACCCGGCCCCACCCACCACACACCCACACTGATCAACCAGAAGCATCAAAGATACAAAGGCGATCAAAGCCGGGAACAGGGAAAGGGGGAGGAATGGGAAGGGATTATGCATACGTCAACACGTTCTGACTCTGCGTACACAGACAATCCCAGTCGTTCTGCGCGCAGGCGTCCATCTGCGGTTGGAGCTGTTTCAGGCAGGCGTCCAGGATACTATGTCCCTCATGTCAGTCAGTTAGCTGTCTAGGTAGCTCTCTGGGGCTTGGTAGTCTGTGTGCCCGTTCTTGGAGGCGAGAGCTAAGGGAGATGCATACCTCTTCGCGCACTGCGCTGTGTCCCCCGCGCTGGCTGCTGTTGTTGCGGCCGGCGCAGCAGCATTCGGTGATGCAGCGACGAGGGAGGCGGAGGTCAGGAGGATGGGGAGAAGGGTTTGGAGGTGCATTTTTGCTTTTGCCTTTCTTTCTTTCTTCTTTCTGTCTATGAAGGTCGGGTTGGGTCTAAAAGTCTTGGAAAGAGGAGAGGGGATCTGGAAGAGAGGACGGATGGTAGCTAAGTAGCTGGATTTATAGAGCAGCAATGGTCCGCCGAAGAAGCGAGTGGAAGGGGAAAATCAACAGGAGCAAAGAAAAGACATGGGATCATTGATATATCATACCAATATGTTAAGATCGATCCCTGCTCTAGCCTCATCCCGATCGTGTTTGTTCCCAGTGGGTGTGGAATTGGAATTGAGTTGACCGAAAGAAGCAGATACGAATCAATCATCATACCGGTATGCTAACAGTCTCTCCGGGAAAACCTCCAGGCTGGCATCATGCATCAAACTATCACCGCCACAAAGCACCTCGTTCGGGGTTCTGTGCCAATCAGGTGGCCCTGGTCCGGGATGGAATTATTGATCGAGAGTTGCATGAAAACTCCCTCCTCTACCGGAGTAGGCCATTGCCTACCGGTACAAAAGTCTAGGGTTGGGCCACGTCCCGACCGCTAGCTCAGTCCCTGCATGGGAAAGGTGGTGGGAGATACAGCTGGATCAGGTTGGATTGATATGAGAGGTCAGATGGAGGGAGATGAGCTCGGAGAAGAAGGTTTGAGGGTCTCGGATAGTTGATTACTTTCTCTGTGTTGGTGGAGTTGATCATTGACTTGTAACGTTACTTCGAGTACTGCTCGGGTGGTTGTCTTTGTCTATTGATTATTGACTTTGATTAAATAGCACGGTACTGTACGGAGTAGTTATGTGACTTGCCGAGTTGTTGGTAGTGGTCCAAGGACTCGATAGACCGAGGAGGAAGATGGATGCCACCGCATGGAGCATGCCGGACAACCCTCACTCAATGTTGCTGGAAAATCTGACCCATCGTATAAATCTCTCTGGCCGCGGATGGACTGGCTATCTTCGACCACGAACTACCGGTCAGTCTTGTCTGGATTATATGCTGCGCAACGAGACGAGCGTCACCACATGAAAAGGAGATAGACAGCCGCTGTTGGTTCAAATTCACAGGGCAAGTGGAGGCTTGCACGGGAATAAAATTAACTCAATCTACCTTGTTGGCCGTACTTGGCCGTACTTGGACGTGCCCACAAAATACCACGAAGCTAACCACGCCTGATACATGTGGAATCGGCATGCAAGGATAAACTAACCACCAGTCAATCTACCCATCCAACATCTAAAACTAGATTTTATGTTTGATGGCACACGAAAACAATCCATTGAAACGGTAGTACAGATGGAAGTTAAAGATATGATTCAGACGACATTTGTTGATACATATTCGCAACACCAGAAGGAAAAACATGGGGAAGGAAAAACAGACGCAAAAAAGGTTTATATGTCCTGTACAGTACAATCCCAGTCAAGGGCAGGCAAACCGAGATCAAAAATAAATTCCGTAGCGCCGCCGATTCTTCATTTCCGCTTCTCTGACTCCTCTTTCCGATCATTTGCCGCCCCCGGCTTGCGGATTGGGAGATCGTGCTGTGTAAGGGGCTTATAAAGAATTTGCCCCTTCCTAGCAAGTTTTAACCTCCGCTTCTGACCGGCCTCTCCGGCTCGTCCCAGGACACCAGCAATGAGGCCGACGGCACGCAGACTGTCATCGTTCGAGGGGATCGGGTAGGTGACGCGGGTGGGGTCCGCATCCGTGTCGATGATGCCGATGGTGGGGACGTTGTTGAGGCCACACTCGTGCAGAAGAACCGTGTTCTCCAGGGGGTTCAGGCAGACCACCAAGTCCGGCTTGAGCGAGGGCCGGGAGTTGGCCACCTCCTTGAACGTCGGCAGCTCTTCGTCGTACATGTTCACCACCTTCACCTCGCAGTGGCCCAGGATGACACTGCCGTTGGTCAAGCTGCCGGGGATCCATCGCTCAAAGAGGTGGTAGCCCTGGGCCCGCTCGGCGGCCCGGACCACCATCAGCTTCTGGCCCTTCCGGGTGCCGGCGAACAGGATCAATCCGCCGCGGGCGGCGACCTCCTCGACGACCTTGGCCGCCCGTCGTAGATACGCGGCGGTCACGTCCAGGGAGATGATGTGAATGCCCTCGCGAATACCGTGGATGTACGGGGAGTTTTGCGGGTTCCAGCGGGAGGTTGAGTGTCCGAGGTGTGTCTGATTGGCGAGGAGCATTTCGAGAGTGAGGTCGGCGGGTTTAGGGGGGTTGAAGAGAAGCTGGTCGGGATTGTATTTGCCTTCCAGAGTGGTTCCCATTTGGCGGAAGTCGGCCTCTGTTCAAGATAAGACGAGCACCTTATGTTAGTGTTGCCGTCCGGACTCGTGTACATGGGGGGGTCACCAAGTTGTTTGGGTGTACTGACTGCGCTGCAGACCCTTGTCCCAGGCCTCCTTTTCAGGAGTCAATGCATATGCTGCCGGCGACCCAGGCTCCGAGGGAATTCCAACTGGAGTCGCAGTCACCCGGGGGGCTTGCTGCGCCGGAGTGTCGACAATCGTCTCGACAATCGTCTCGGTGGAGGAGAATCGGGCCCAGACGCGCGATGGGCAGTTGAGCGCACCGAGCTGGCGGCCTGCAAGACAGAGAGAGAGCGTCAGTAATCAGGATACAAAGTTCAATAGAGCTGAGATAGCAGACAAGAACTCACTTTGCCGCAAACAATGCCGGACAATCATGGTGTACTATACAGAGCAGTCTTGTTCCCTTCCGCAGTGTTGAAGGGGAATCTTCCGCTCGAACTTTTGATCGGGCTTGGCCGCACAGTTCTGCCCCAGGCACCCAGGACCATGCGCTAACCCGCTTCCGGACAAGCTTGGTTGCCTCAGGGCGACAATGCATGATCCATCCGATGTATGAAGTATGAAGCATTTGTCTCACAACTTCTTTCCCTCCATGTCGTGGAGGGCTATTTCATCAACGTCTATCCCATACAACCCTTCTCAGGCATAGTGGATCTACATGGACATTCAGTCGAACAAGAGAGCCTATCTTCCTCTGACAGCCCGGAAAGAGCACTGTCCCGGACAGGAATAGACACTGCTAGACTGGTGGCTTCAGCAGGAACCGGGTGACAGACTGGAGGGACCAGAACAAAGGACGCTTGATGGCAAAACAATCACTTGCGATGCTAAGACCATAGGATTATATTCAGGAACCGGGACTATCAGTTCCAGCAATCTAGTCAATAAAGGACACTCTCCTTTATCTTGCTGCAGTCAAAGAGCTCACACATAAAGACATTGTGATTCTAAGAATACTCGGACAATCTAGGTATAAATATGTCACGCTTTGCAATTTGGCATTCCCAGGCGGGAAAACATAGATTCATTCTTCTTATAATTCGATCAACCTGTGTACTGCACGCTCTCTTCATATACCGCCCATACAACATCAACCATCCCCCCAGTCCAAACCTGCGCACAGGATGATCCAACCCGGGGAGATCTCGCTATACCCAGGGGGCTGCAACCCCGAAGGCGGACGCCCGCTCGGCTGCTTGTATGACCGCCAGTGCCAGATCACGTACCAAGTAGGCGCGAGGGAGACGCCCTGCACGACGATGTTCTACCTGCTTGGGCCCAGGGACCTGCCTCTGGAGGAGGTCCCCTGGGCCCGCATGGAAGAACTGCTCAAGTACATCTTCCTGCAGGCGCGGCGCGAGAACCCGGACTCGGCCCCCATCGCCGGGGAGCTCAGCACCGGGGAATGGTGTCGGTTCTATCGCGAGGTCCTCCCCACGGACGGCGCAGACCATCGGGTGCGTGGCATCTACCAGTTCAAACTCGGGGGGAAGGCGACCTTCCATGAGGAGGAGGATGAGGCCCTGATCGAGCTGTTGGCGAGCATCACCCATTCCGGTTTCCCCTACGTAGAGACGTTGCTGGGTCTGCACGAGATCCTCGCCAGACACGGGCGAGGTGCGGTGAGGGTTCCGGGCCGTGCTGAGAGACGCAGGATTGAGAGGCGCTGGGAACGCCGAAGCATGGCAACGTAAATGCACCCACCCATTCATTCCCGGTGTGTCAGATGCCAACGAGCCAAATGCAAGCCCCTCCTACTTGCTGGGACAGCTCATCATCGCATGACTCAGTAAGCCCAGGGTGGCCAATGGGTGCTGTAGTTCATCTCACCTGTCCTCCTGGAAATGCATGAAATCTAAAGGCGGGGTTGGGTATGTCGGGACTCGGGTCTCGTAGGGACGCTCACCCCGCCATCTCACACCCCTCTTTTGCGCGTCGGCATCTAGGTTTCTTGGAAGTTATGACATTCATGAGAACATCTTATTATCTTACACTTACAACTACATTCCTTCTCAAGCAAATCCTTGTAACTGCGGGGTCAAAGGCAGTATGATTCTTCGTAGCATAGCCACTAATAGATAAAATATGCTGGCAGACCCAGCATCGGTATCAAGTTTAAGTCCAATCCCTAGTATCAACACTTCAGGGAGATAATTCAGAGAAAAGCAGAGCAATCTTAAGCGCAAGAAACGGTTGTTGGAAGAAAAGACTCGAATTCATTTCCCATACCCCGGCCGGCCGTAACAAAAAGAAAAGGGCAACAAATAAATAAAAGGCTCAGTCATATGGAATGAAGCAGCAAGGTCATGAGATCAAGAACGGTCTAAGGTGAGGAGGAGCCGTCTATTTCTTGAAGAAGCTGCCGAACTGGTCCATCATGCTACCACCGCCACCGTGGTGAGAGCCGGGAGGAGGACCACCGGGACCACCATGGGGAGGGTAGCCGTACTGCTGCTGCTCCTCCTCCTTGTGTCTGTGCTTCTTGATGGCGTCTTCAGCGATACTTCCGATAATGGCACCACCGATGGTTCCGAGGATCCCGTGATCCGCCTTGTGACCGGCAAAGCCTCCCGCCAGACCACCGGCGAGGGCACCACCGAGACCACGTTCACCGTCCTGCGCGCCACCAGGGGCACCCTGCTGGTTGTACCTGGAAAAAAAAAAAGAAAAGAACATGTCAGTTCACCATGGTACTTTGATTATAAATGGGAAGTCGATGAGGATGAGCTTACTCTCCACGCTGGTCCTGACCATACTGTTGCTGCTGACCGTGCTGGCCGTACTGTTGCTGCTGGCCGTACTGGCTCTCACCACCATACTGAGACTGCTGTCCGCTGGAGCCATAGTAGTCGTTGGCAGAGCCACCCTGGCTACCGTGCTGGCTGTGCTGGTTGTATTGGTCGTAGCCACCCTGCTGTCCGTAGCCCTGCTGCTGAGGATAACCACCACCCTGTTGGTAGCCACCCTGCTGGTAACCACCCTGCTGGTGGCCGTAGTAGCCGCCCTGGCCCTGGTTGTACTGATCGTAGCCGGACATGTTGTCGGTGTGTGTGAGACGAAGAGGGGTAATTCGATGTGGATGTGTGATGTAAGTGTTGTTGTTATCTGACTTGTAAGTCGGAGGAAGGAGAGAAAGTGGGATAGTATGATGAAAGACGGATGATGGGAACGAGGGGCACCTTAGGTTTTTATAGTGGGAGATTTGGCCACTTGATAAGCTGATCTGGCACTACGGGCACTACAGGGCTGAGCAGGCGCAGTCGGATCCTTCTGGCCTTCCTGGCCCTTCTGTGAATTGCTGGGGACGAGCCCCACCATGAATTCACTGTTTCCCTCTTCTCCGTTCATGCCAAGCCCTGCGAGATTTACTAGGCAAAACATGCCAATCTTACAAGTTACCTCTCCGTATGACTGAGCCACACTGCGGTCTTAAAAAAAAAAACCATGCGGGACAGTACTGGCCCCGATTCCTTGCCCCCAGCCCCAGCCCTGGACATGATTACCTGGCTGGGTTCAGTAAGCGGCGTCTATGAGATGTCTGATATGTGAAAATTGTTCTTTAGTTTACTGAACAGCGGTGACCCGTACGGATGACTCCCCCGCCACGGTGAGGTGCGGGGTGGCTGTGCACTCTTGCAGCCATGTGTTTGTTGAATGGACGCAGGGCTGAGACCGATCACCAATGCTAAGTGAGGTACTCCTGACAGTGCCGCAATATCCAGGGCATCTATAGATTCTTCCCCAATCTCCCGGTGTGTGACTTTCCGAGTCCCATGCTACCTAACGTCCACAATGATACACTCACTGGTACCAGTACAGTACATTGATGCGCCACTGGGGCAACGATCATCCTTGGTCTCAATATGCAGCCATCCGATTTCGACGGAAAACCCACCTTACACATCTTGGCTGGTAAGACTGGTAACGTCGTGCACATTCAGGCATCGACTCCTGCATAAGTTACTTCATACCGAAGTCACTGTGGCGCAGGTGTACTTGGCACAGCCTCAACGGGTAATGGCGTGATGCCGATAGCCCGAGCCTGTAATGCCAAGACTACGATTCATGGGGCTCGGGATGAGCTCCTCAATCTACGAGTACGGATAACTTAGTCGATTGCAGTTCCGGATCCTCGGGTAGATGGAATTGAAAGTGCTCTTGCAATTTTGAGCTTGCCGAGCCTCCGCAAGAACCCCCTAAGTAGAAGATTAGAAATGTCGCTGTCCTATTTTTACTAACAGGGGTTCAAGTGTGCATCCCGTCGGAGACACCGTCCTCCAGTACGGCACGTAACAGGCAGACATGTTTCTGCATACACTAGCGGAAATTTGGGTCTGACATCTTCCGCTGAGATATACGTAACCGGGGGGGGGGCAGTGAATACGTGCGAAAAGTGGAGGAAACAGTCCCACGTAGACCACTCAGATGCTGGAAAGCCCATTGTGGCTGGTTTCCCTCGGATCTCAACCTCTTTAGACCGTGGAAATTGGGGCTTAGAGCCGAGCAGGTGAAAAGGAGATCCTCAGCTGAAAGATGCAAGAGAGAGGATATACACAGTAGGTACTCTAAGCGATCACAAGCCTTGTGGAAGGTGCTTCTAGAATAATATCGCCTGCTGATCAATCACCTCCTCCCCTTTTCGGTGACCTGGATGGATTGGGGGCCGTGCTGTCGGCTCAGTATCCGAGGCAACTGCAGTGCAAACTGACATCGACAACGCATTTGGCCCTTCCACGGTCACATCCCATCCTTTCTTTTGAGGGGGAGGGGTACCTCCAATCCACCTACAGTGGCTTGGTCCCGGATGAACTGTTGATATCTCCCCGATCAAAGAGAGGAACAACTGCCCAGGCTACAGCACTAACGTAGGTAGTCTATGGACCCAAGACTTGGACCCAATCCAACACAACACAAGCGGTAAGTTATTTATCGGAGCGGGGAGCCCATCCCAAGGAACTGCCTGTCAGCCCGAGCTTGTTCATAGTGTCTACCTGTCCGAGTCAACTTGAAAGCTTAATTATTCCCTCACAGGCTCATGCAGAGCAGCAGGAGTTTGCCTGGTACGTCCGTTCGTGGAGAGCGGGGAGAGTGCACGGCACTTCACGAGAAGCTACCTGTACATACAAACCTACGGCATGTATAAGTAGATCTGCAGCCCCTCGATGATGCCGCCTCAGGACTTGCCTTGCATGCGGCACACCACAAACGATGTTCTCAATCTCCACAGATAGCACCAGTCAGCAGTGCAAGGCAGAATGCAAGGGTAATGACTTCTTGATAGCCGTGTTGCAAGATCCTGCTCATCAAGCTTTTCCTTCCAAAGCATATCCCCCCGACTAAAGATAACTGCTACGGTGTATCCACATCTCAGCTTCCTACAAAGTTCCATGACAGAGCCCTCACGGTCCTCACTCATGGCTTGAAAAAAAAAAAAAAAAAAAAAGCAGAATCAAAACAGCAGGCCAATTCACATCATCCGACTGGGAAGGGACAAACTCACCGCAGATCGACCTTTTTTAAGGTTATGAATTCTGCCCCGAGAAACCCTCAGCTGGGCTCCATGGATCGTCGCCTGACCGACCGGACGTCCCAATCAGCGTCAAAGCTTCCATGTTGCACGAGATCGAGAGGGTCCATCTCAGTGGACTCTTTATCTCGAGTAACAGATGATTTTTCCAGTCTACTGGTCACGAAAAATTCGCTCATAGCAGCAAAGAATAGGCTCAGCAGCCGTGTTGCGTTATGCAGCAGCCTGGTCGCCTGCTGCCCTGCTGCCCTCCCCCCATCCCTCCCCATATGCATTGCGTCGATCGATAGTGTGTTTTATGATCGACCATCCCTCAGCTTGCTTGCTTGCTCCATATTTAAATCTCCACGCGTACCCTCCTCACCTGGTTGATTGAATACTCGGCCGACGTACATATAGATCCCGAGGCCCTGACGACTCTCCCGAACGCCGCGATGCGCAAGCGGACATACTCTCTCCCTCGATGAGAAGACACCATAGATTCGAGATATAAAAGCACTAGAAATGACCCGGTAGCTGTGATCACGGCTATCACCTGTCACACACTATATATATCAAGATGATCGCCTCTCAGCTTAGCAATATTCTATACCTTCTCACCGCATCCACTCTGACCCTGGGTGCCTCCATTCCATCATCCCAACCGACGAAGCCAACCGTCTACCTGATCCGTCATGGGGAGAAGCCCCCGGATCCCAGCGACAGCGGTCTTAACGCCGACGGCTTCAAGCGCGCAGAATGTCTCCGTTCCGTCTTTGGCGCCGACTCGCCATATGATATCGGATATATAATGGCACCACATATCAACTCTCGTAAGGAACCTCCAGACAGCAGCCCTTGCCCTATCTTCCTCTTTTGGATTGTCTTTTGATCGCAAAGCGTTGACACTGACACCAATACTACATAGTCGGCCAACACCGTCGCTCCTACGAAACCGTCCTCCCCCTCGCCCACGACCTGTCTCTGCCGATCGACACCTCCTGCAAGCGCAATGACGCGAAGTGCGTGGCGCGAAAAATTCGTCACTATCGGGGCCCCGGCAATATCCTGATTTCATGGCGGCATGGAAAGATGGCGAATATCGTCAGCGCCTTGGGCTCGGATGACCCACCTGTTTATCCCGAGGAGCGGTGAGTACTCTCCCTCGTATACTATCTGGGAATGGAAAAGGAATAGTTGCGCCTCGTGACGTTCAGGTGTGGATGGTGGCTGATATTTCGAGGGCTCGATTAGGTTCGATTTGATTTGGACTATTCCTTGGCCGTTTGATAACATTACCTCGATTGAGAGTGAGAATTGTGTTGGTTTAGATGATAAGGGATTCGACTCGGCATTCTTGGAGCTTTAGAGGCTGGTAGTGTCGAGGTAATTGGCTCCTGTTGGATAGTAGGCCCGTTGCGGGGTGGATATATACCAGTGATGTAGATTCGAGATGTATCACCGAGTAACATCGGAGTAATAGGTTCTCAGAGATGATATAACTGAAATATACGACGGATACCGTCTTGGATCACAGCCTGAGGGTTCACTCTGCATTTGTCGTCATTTATTGATTGATTTTATTGCTGTGTAGTTTAACAGCGCCGATCAGATCACATCTTAGTCCAGATCATATAATAGAGTAGGGGGGCACGTGGACCATACTTCCAGTGACATCCCGGACTTACCAGTTGACGGGGATAAGGCCGACCGACCCCGTACTGGAATAATTCTCTTGTGTGCGCAGGCGGTGAAGGCGGTGAACAGCCGAGCGGAGAAGGAGCAATGCCAAGATTTCAACCTACTCACCCAATTTTTTCATGGTATCGCGGCTTTCGTTACTTTGACCCCGAGCGTTGCCCATTAGACCCATCAACCTCCAATTCCGGCCCTGGTATTTGCTTCTCGAGTCCTTTTGTGTTCTTGGACAGGCCTGCTGGTTTCTTTTTCTTTTTTGTCTCTTGCAGAAATGGATGACATCGAGGTGTGTTGCCCCGTGCACTGCACTGCACTGCTGTGTGCCTGATTCTGAGATTGACATTTTTTTTTCTTCTCATCAGGAACGGCTGCGAGACCACGCCCAGGCCTTCGATGGTCTGTTGTCGCTAATCCCGGCAAAGAACTACTATGGTGAAGATGGCAGTGTACGTTCTCACCTTGGTTTCTCCTTTTCTGCTCAAAGCAAAAAAAACCCCTCCTGTCCTCCGTCTCCTCTCCTACTCTCTTCTCCCTTGCCCCCACTCCCCAGAACTATCCAGCCGCTGCTCAAGGACGTGGCTGACCGCAATCCCTTGATTAGGACCAATGGCAGCGGAAAAAGCAGACCAAGGAGCAAGCTCGCGAAGCCAAGCGGGCCAAGTTGGACCCCGATAATGTCAAGACGGCCAAGGATGTGATGGACGAGAAGGCACGTAAGCGCAAGCGCAACGAAGAGCAAGCTGGAGAAGACGCCGCGTCTGAGGACGGAGAACTTGGCTCCGAGCAGCCCAGAGAAGGTCTGAAACGTGGTGACGCAAAGTCCAAGAAGCAAAAACAGACCGAAGACTCGGCAAACCCGGATGCCCAGGCCAAGTCGAACGAGGCCGCCGAAGCGCGCAGAAAATTGAAGGAAGAGAAGAAGGCACAGAAGAAGGCCAACCAGAAGGAGAAGAAGAAGGCCAAGGATGCTGCCAGGAAGGCGAAGGAGGTTGAGCAAAAATCTAAGCAGGACCAAACACCTACCGCCGAGGTTGCGCAAGAATCAGAGTCCGCCCCTGCCAGCAAAAATGATGACAACGAAGTTGAGGCTGAGGACAGCGATGAGAGCGACGCTGCCGAGGGCGTTGTTCCCGAGGAGGGACTCTCACTCGAGTTCAACGTAGAACCCGAGTCCTCTTCTGCATCGACTCCCAATTCCTCTGGCTTTGATGCGTCCAATCCCCAGTCCGGCAGCTCTTCCATCTCCTCCGTCGCCCCCTCGACCGATGCCCCCAAGTCCTCCACCTCCAACGACCTCAAGCCCCTCAAGGCCACTTCCGAACAGTTGAAACAGCGGCTTCAGAAGCGTCTGGACGAGCTCCGGGCTGCTCGTCACGCCGATGGATTGAATGGCAAGCCCGCCCGCAACCGCCAAGAGCTCATCGAGGCGCGCCGACAAAAAGCCGAGCAGCGCAAAGCGCACAAGAAGGAGCTGCGTCAGAAGGCCCGCGAGGAGGAACAACGGCTGAAGGACGAGGCCATGGCCCGCCGCTTCTCTCCCGGCGGATCCGGCTCCCTTCTCGCCTCTCCTCGCTCCCCTGCAGACTCGGTTGGCTCTTCCAGCAACGCCAACTACTCCTTTGGTCGGGTCGTCTTCGGCGACGGCCAGCACGCCGATCCCACTCTCCAGAACGTCCGCGATCAGCCCAAGCGGCAGGGTGCTCACCACGACCCAGCCGCCGCCCTCAAGGCTGTCGAAGCCAAGAAGGCCCGGCTGGCCTCCATGGACGATGAGCGGCGGGCCGACATCGAGGAGAAGGACATGTGGCTGAACGCGAAGAAGCGTGCCCACGGCGAGCGGGTCCGCGACGATACCTCGCTGCTGAAGAAGGCTCTCAAGCGCAAGGAGACGGCCAAGAAGAAGTCCGAACGCGAGTGGCGGGAGCGGATCGACGCCGTCAAGCACGGCAAGGACATGCGCCAGCAGAAGCGCGAGGAGAACCTCCGCAAGCGCCGCGAGGAGAAGGGAGGCAACAAGGGCAAGAAGAAGCCCGCCGCTGGCGGAGGCAAGAAGAAGGCCAGACCGGGCTTCGAAGGTAGCTTCAAGGCCAAGGCTGGTGGTGGCGGTGGGAAGAAGAAATAAGTGAACTGGACTTAGGTAGTCCTCAGCTCAGCTTCGCCTTTGCCCTTTCTTCTCCGACCCTCCCATCTTCTTACCATTTCCATTTCCCTCTCGCCCTCCCTCCTTTACTATCCTCCATACCCTGACTGAGCGGTGATTCTCCCCGGTGATGATCCGTCGTCGTTCGTTCCTCAGTATGTAATACCATCTACCTTCCACCCTACCCTACCCACCACCACAACGCGATACCTTACCTACTCCTTCGATTTCTCGAATACAAACAGGAGACGGGAGGAGCAAGGACGAATCATCATCATCATCATCAAAAACCTAAAAAGAGAGACAAAGCAGAGAGATGTGTGTGCTTTCTTTTCTTTTTTTTTTTTCAAAAAAGTTATCTTAAAAAAGGGAATGGGTTGTGTGTTGTTGAGTGCGGGTCATCATTTGGAGATATGGTGTTCGGGGAGTTCATTAACATTTTAAAATCTGGGGGGATTTTTTTTATTCATTTACTCATTTCTTTGTTCATTCTTGTCCTCCAAAGTTATGTGCATATGTGCATAGGCAGCGTTTCCTATACTTCTTCGAAACACATTTGTTGATACAAATTTGATACAATCTGGTTTCCCATTCAGGAATGACTGACTGATCCTCCTCTGTATGGTTTCTTTCTTCTGTCTAGAACAAAGGAAAAAAGAATACTTCTTCGATTTGAAAATCCCTAGGAAAAAAAGAACCTGAAACGGCAGTGTAGGTAAACAGACACATGTAATCGAGACATGCAGATAAGGTAAATATCCTTCGACATCGGAGACACACAATAGCAGACAAGACCAGAGAGTACCAGAGCCGGGATATTTCCGGGCAACTGCAGAGGACACCCCTCTGGGAGTGAGCCCGACAAATACAGGTGAGAAATCGGGTTGGGGTAGGGTTGCGAGCGTTAGTTTATGTACAAGGTGGGTAGTGGAAGGCTAGAGCGGCCGAGTCAACCCGCCGTGAGGAGAGACCACCCTACCCTTCCACTTTCTCAATAATTTGAAAACAACATTCCCTTTTCTTCTTAGTGCTTGAGCCTCCCGAGCATTCCGACAAATGGGAGCGCATACTCTCGTCAAGATTCAACTCCTCATGTCGGAAGATGCTGGCTTAAAATCGTCTTCTAACACCAAAAGCGGCTTAACGGTAAGGAGCATCAGCTCTGGCGGCAGCGGCAATCTCCGGCTCCCACTTGTCACCATTGGCAAGGAGCTTCTCCTTGTTGTACAGCAGCTCCTCACGGGTCTCAGTGGCGTATTCAGCGTTGGAGGCTGCAAGTGAAGGTCGGTCAGTCACGCGTCCCAACGGTTAGACCCAAGAGTGACTGAGAAGGGCAAACTCACTCTCAACGATAGCGTCAACGGGGCAACTCTCCTGGCAGTAGCCACAGTAGATGCACTTGGTCATATCGATATCATAACGGGTCGTCCGACGGCTTCCGTCCTCACGCTCCTCGGCTTCAATGGTGATGGCCTGGGCCGGGCAGATGGCCTCACAGAGCTTGCAGGCAATGCACCGCTCCTCACCGGTGGGGTAGCGACGCAGGGCGTGCTCACCGCGGAAACGAGGGGAGATGGGACCCTTCTCGAAAGGGTACATGATGGTGTAACTGTCGAGGTTTCTTCGCGTTAGCGGATGGTCCGGGTCCACGAGGGGGAGCTCCCACAGAGGGAGGAGCAACAGCTCAATTGACGTCAAAGTCGTGGTATGATGGGATGATATGATCGGGCTTGAGTGGCCAAACCGTCGAGGTTCGGCCTAGCGGGGAAGCTTGCGAAGGCAGGGTGGCACCTACGGAGGTCTGAAGAACTGCTCCAGCACGACGTACATGCCGCGCATCAGCTCGGCCATGAGGAAGTACTTGGTGGCCTTGTCGAGGGCAGACTCAGTGGACTGGTCCCATTTCTGCGGAGGAGGCAAGCGGAAGCCCGGTTGGGGAGGACCAGCTGGCGTAGCTGCGCGGGCGACTGAGGAGGAGAAGTTTGCGATGGAGCCGATGGGGGTAGGACGGAGAGCGAAAGGCGATGGGCGGGAATAGGCCAGAAGCCTGGCGACAGACTTTGTGGAGGCCATGGCGAGTAGGAATTATCCTTTGGGGGGTGGGGGGTGGATAGGATGAGGGGGGAGAGGAGAGGAGGAGTCTGGAATTGAAGGAGGGAGGTTCAAATGTGGTGGTGGTCACCGTGCCTTCCCAGCAAGTTCCAGTTCAGTCAGTCAGTTTTGGTTCAGTTTGCACTCTTCCAAAATGAATTGGGCTTAGGTCATGGCTTTCTCCTTCCCGTTGATTGGCCGGCGGCAGGATTTTGCTGCTCCGAGCCGCAACAGAAACCATCGACTTATTCAGTCTCCATCTCAACCCAGCCCAGAGTTCACTCACTCCCTCCTCCATCTGCTATTCCTATCACTTTCAATCAACCTCTTCTCCATTCTCCCTCCTCCCTTCCCCCCCCACCCCCACACTTCTTTCTTCCTAATTATTCCCATTCGGGTACTCTCACATAATTCACCATGTTCCGCTCCGCTGTCGTCCGCTCCCTCCGGACCTCTGTCCCTCGTGCCGTCAAGACTTCGGCTCCCTTCCAGATCCGTAGCTCTGCTGTCGCTCGCCCGGCTCAATTCGCTCCTCGCTCCGCCTACCAGGGTGTCCGTCTCTACTCCGCTCCTGCCGGTCTCAAAAAGGAGGAGGTCGAGGGCCGCATTGTCAACCTGTTGAAGAACTTCGACAAGGTGCGTCAAGTAACATTCCAAGGCGGCGGATGCAGGTCTATCAGCTTGTTGTTTCGCATCGCCGAGATTTATCCAAATGACATGAACTGACGTATCTTGATTCAATGCGCTTCAGGTTTCCGACGCCAGCAAGGTTAGTGATTCGAGTCGATCCCCGCTGGGCTCCGGCTTCCGGCGAAAATCCCTCGGTAAAAGGTCCATGTTTTTAACGATATATAACCTGGTAGATCAACGCCGCTTCTCACTTCACGAACGATCTTGGTCTGGACAGCTTGGATACCGTTGAGGTCGTCATGGCCATCGAGGAGGTACGGCTTGCCGCATCTAGTTCGCCTCGACGCGCGCTTACTGACATGCCTGCAGGAATTCAGCATTGAGATCCCCGACAAGGAGGCCGACTCCATCCACAGCGGTAAGTCACTACAAAAATCGAAGAGAATTCCCCGGAATCGAGAACTGATCGCCTTCCGCTACAGTCGACAAGGCTGTTGAGTACATCCTTGCCCAGCCCGATGGTGAGTTACCCCTCTTATTATCATTATCGCAGAGCTTGCGACTAACATGTCTGCAGCTCACTGAATACCCGCGTAATGAGGAACCGGGAAGTTGTTGGAGGATTAGAATAGAAGAAATCGAAAGGGGATGATGGCGTGCATCTACAGGAAACTCGCCACTGCGGAGACTCCGGGTAGCTGGGGATGCTACCCTGTATGCTGATACATGCCTGTGCTCTTTCATACTCTACTATATCGTGTATATCACCTTTGGGAATGCCGTTCTGACCGATACGATACTTTGTTGGGTCTTCGTCGCGTAGCGCGTGTAAATGATCTCAGGATCGCCCTTAATCTTGAGTCGAGCGAGAAGTGAAAAGTTGTCATTGAACCTGGCTCAAAGCTGTATATGACGAGCGAAAACCACCGAGAGCTGTAGAACGTCGAGAACAAAGACAGGTTAGAGTCATTCTCCATATTGAGAGGTAATTTTAATCTGATATGATGCGATCCGGGGAGATGAGGCGATATTGAGAATGTCGAAGGAGACCGACACGGTGGACGTGCTAGTTGTCTTCGCAAGGCAGATCTTATAGCTGGACAGGTCTTTATTCTGAAACTGCAATGTGTCATATCATCAATTGAATGTGTATAAGTGCCAAGGTCATTGTTGAGGAAGTGAAGACAGGCCGATTGTCCAAAGCGTTGCGGGCAATTCCGTCACCGGAGGAGCAACACTAAAAGCAGCCGCGACAAGAGCTGATGGCCGGACACCACGAAGCGCCAGATAGTCTTTAAGAAAGTACCCAGTGAAATTGAGATAATTGAGATAATTAATTGTTGAGTACTCTTTCTGTCAGACGGACAACTGGGGATCTTGTCTACTTTCCTTTCTTTCTTCTCTTCTCGCATTGCTGGGAAATCATCCATCTCCAACGAAATTAACTAATTGTTGAGTGGTGCTTTTTGACTCTTGGCCGATTGACTCCTTTATTCGGCCATTTGCACCTCTCTCAGCTCTCTGTGTCAATCCGATCTTCTCTTCCACTCACTCCACTCCACCCTTCTCTTCCCCCCCCCTCCCCCTGGGATCATTTCCCGCTTAAACTGCTTAAGCCATAGTTAATCCCGTCTCTCATCTCGGCTTCTTCTTCCCTTTTCGATCATTCCGATTTTCTACAATTCTTTCGCCCCCCAAACCTCCCAAAGGGGTCAGACTCAATCTACAGTACAATCAATCGGTTCATGTCGCAGGCGATACCGGCATAGACCTCATTCCTGGCGTGTGCACCTTTCCAACACGATCCAACGCCCCTCCCTTCATTCGGCCTCAATCCTTTGATCTCGCACTCTCCCCGCTTCCGCCAAACTCACCACTTCCACCTTCCCTCCCTCCTCCCCCCCACTCCCCCCCCAAACGCACCGTTCGATAAATCCTCATGGCCTCAGCCGGGGGCTTGACTCGCCGGAGAGGTGGCGGTCGAGTCGCTGGCGCAGAAGACAATGATGACAGCAGAGTCTCTTCGCCCATATCGAGAAACGGTTCGTCGCTGGACAACCGCGTCCCCGAAACGTCATTCACCAGCGCCGAAAATGGTCATAAGATCGCGTTCGACCCCCGAGACATCAGCGAAACGGAGGAGCGCAGCAAACAGCCCAAGCTCACCCTGATGGAGGAGGTACTCCTACTGGGATTGAAAGATAAACAGGTTGGGCACTTTCCCTTGCGATCCTTATCTCGGCTTTTGTTTTTGTGGGGCGATCGATATACGGGGCGATGTCTCAATTGCTGACCGCGGCCTTTTCATGTCGGTATTGTAGGGCTACCTTTCGTTCTGGAATGAGAACATCTCCTACGCCCTGCGAGGGTGCATCGTGATCGAACTGGCCCTCCGCGGTCGCATCAGCATGCAGAAGGATTCCTCTCGACGACGTTTCCCCTTGGCCGATCGGGTGATCGAGGTGATCGATGACACGCTGACGGGCGAGGTCTTGCTGGACGAGGCGTTGAAAATAATGAAGTCGAGCGAGAAGATGAGTGTCAACTCCTGGATCGATCTACTGAGCGGTGCGTACAAAGGGTTTCTGGTATTCTCTGGGTTGACATCGACAAAACTGATCTGTTGGGACCAGGTGAAACATGGAACTTGATGAAGATTGGTTACCAGCTGAAGCAAGTGCGCGAACGTCTCGCCAAGGGCCTGGTCGACAAGGGCATCCTGCGCACCGAGAAGCGCAACTTCCTCCTCTTTGATATGGCTACACACCCCGTGGCTGACGGCGGCGCCAAGGACGACCTCCACCGCCGTGTCCGCAACATCTGCAGCAGTCGCACCGTCATCCTTCCCGGCAACGCCTGGCTTCCCGAGGACGCTGAATTCCGCTACCTGCGGACGATCACCATGGTATGCGCCGCGTATGCGGCCAATGTTCTGGAGAATGCGCTGGTCACAATGAGCCACGAGGCTCGGGAACGGGCATTCGCGCAGGTAGATGAGTTGTTGGCCGAGTACTCGCAGTGGCCGTTCGGCCGGAGGGCAGGTGGCTCGCAAGCCATCGGAGCCAATCTGGCGCAGGCTATTAATGACGAGGTGAACAAGGCTAAGGACAAAGAGCTCCAGTTGGAGGTACGTACAGCCACTCATTGAATTTGGAACTGCCCCGATAGCTAACTTCCTTTTGACACAGATTGTGGCAGCATGTTTGAGCGTTTTCACTAGACTTGATTCTCTACTGTAATAGGCTTTTTCTTATTCCCATATCCCCCCCGCCCTCTGCTATAGCCTCCCTCCCCAGCTCTATCTCATTTTCAAATCTCGTCTATTACTGATACTACCAACTTTCATCGTCTTTCTCTCTCCGAGAATGAGAAAAGCACATCAACATTGCCTCCACCTAGGGACTTGACCTCTTTTTTCTCCTTCCTTTTCATTCACAGTTTTGGCAGTACTATTACCGGCGTACCGGGTTGGATCTGTCGCAGAAGTGATATGACGTTTTTGTGTCTTGTGTGTCGAACCTGCCGTGCTGCGAAGCGGCGACCCATTGCATTGAAACCTTGTTTTTGTACGAGAGATTACTTCTTTACTGGTTTCGATCCTTCTTCATTGAAAATGGTTCTTTTCACGTACTTTGGCCGCATCGGATAATCCAGTCTATGACCAAAATCTGCTCGTTTATTGTCTCTCTTCTCCTTGTTCAGTCAGCGCCCATCATTTTCGAACTTCATCCCTGCCCCAGCACCTGTTGGTGACGGGTGACACAGCCTCGGTACAACACGCTCCGCCCGCTAGATAAAACGTTGACAGTCCCGAAACTTCCCCCCATGGAACAAGGTAGTTTATGCAGTGGACGGACTCATGTTCAATTTCGAATCCAACCGGTGTGCTTGTGCATGGGTACCGTGACGCACACCATTTGTAGCAGAGTGCCCATGATCTCCATACCTTTGATAGATCACATGTATAGAAGAATATCGCGTACCCGGGCTAGAATCGCCTCCCCCTTCGTTTCGAGGCCATTCCTATGCTTGTCGAGGTCGATTGGGCGCAAGGTAAAAGGGTCAGTGGCACATCTGTATGGTAAATGGTAACTTCATAGCATAGACGCCGCCGAAGCCTTCCAATGAATACTGGCATACAGCCCCCCATTGTGCAATCCGAGATATACTTCGGTGAGTGGATCTGGGTTCTGGTCATGCGATGTACTGTGGTCTACGACTGCGTAGTTTTCCTATGTGGGTTGTTTCTAGAGGTGAGGCGAGCGCCGTCGGGTCGAACCGGTGATCATAACGCAAGCACCTGTGGCAAATGGCTGACTCTAAAGCTTTATCGTATATGTGGTGCTATAGTACAGATGAACAATCTCTAAGTCAAGAGGATAAACAGGCAAATCAAGGCTGCAACGAACAGAGCAAAAATACAAGGCTAATGGAAAGAAACCATAATGGCACATCAGAACGAGATGAAGGGTTCAAGATCAGTTGACATGAATTACCATCATGCCGCCTCGTCGTCCACCGCCGGCGCCGGCCGCTCCCGAAGCCAGCATGTCGGCTCCTCTCTCGATATCGTGGATGCTTTCCACGCGGCCTCGGATTACATCACTCTCCACTAGCTGAGCGATGCGCTCCAGCGCCTCTCCATCTGGCCGCACCGCAACGAAGCGGCTGAGGACCCCGTTTTGGGGCGGTTCGGCGTTGCCCTCGGAATCCCGGTTCTGCGCTGGCGTGGAGTCCACAGCAGTCACGACGACACCATTGGACTTGACCACGCGCGGAGAGTGGGCTTGTTGGAACATTTGGCGGCCGGCACAGTCGATGACAAGGTCGACCGGGGCCCAGCGATTCTGGCGGAAGATGGCCCCTAGGTCATAATCTTGAGGCAAAGGGAGAGGGGCATAGAGGATCTCGTCGATCCCATACTCTTGTCGCAAGTAGTCCTCCTGATCCTGGGCATCACAAGTTGCACAGACCCAGGGCAGTTGGTTGGGGAACAGTGTCCGTGACCGGAGTAGCTGCAGTGCCTGGGCACCAACTTCGCTATTCCGCGAATTCGTCACCAGGACTCGTAATTGCCGTTCCATTTCTTTGACATCCTCGGGTACAAACCCGGCGTATGTGAAGAGAGACTGCCATGCTGTGAGAGCAGGCAGAGGAATTGCGGCTGCCTCCGCAGCACTGATATTGTTGGGTTTCAAAGCGATCTCATCCTCTGAAGCGACGACGTAATCGGCCGCGGCACCGTCACGGGTGTAGTTGACCAGGCCAAAAACGACGTCGCCAACCTCGAATTTCGGACCGCCTGGATTCCGGTAGTCATGCTTGGGCGTATCAGCAACTGTACCACAGAAGCAATGCAGAGGAATCTGAGGAATGGATTTAGACGGGTTCAGGATGGTAGCTAGTCGTAGCTCATCGTGGGAGAAAGCTGCGGTTTTAACCTTGATCAGGTATTCATTCCCAGATGGCATTGGCGTCTGGAATCCAGAATCGAACTCGACGCAAGAGTCTACCCTGGGAGCATCCAGAGAAGTGAGGTCGGTGATAGCAGTTGACGCTGGTCGATAGTATAGTGCTCTCATCGTAGATGGCACTGTTGTTTGCTCATTCATTGTGGTCGATTTGCGGTTCTCTAGCTAAACGGTAACAGCCGGGCTGGAAAGGTTATGATGTGATGCAGCGGCGAAATATGCTCAATGAGGCCGACGCAAGCAGTCAGCCAACAGGATATAGGAGAATGAGAAGCAACACTATTCCGTGGTTTCGCCGAATGACAAGGCGTAGATCGAGCGGGGTTTGTTCCGATCGCAGATTTTAAGGATGGACCGCTGCAGCCACAAGCGCGGGTCTTGACGTTGTTGGTGACAGTCTACCATTGACGTAACCCCGAGTATAAACACGCTTATATCAGCAACCTTTGTGATGTCAACATCTAATTCGAAGTTCATTCGACATCACAGAATCGCCCGATCGTTCAGTATCGGTTGAGATTTCCTCGAGAGGCCCGAGCATTTTATGGCTTATTCCCAGCTCATCCACAAGGTGCTCTACCTCCGCAGGATCCTCGAAGACCTTCCATTTATGGTCGGGCACACCGTCAAATGCAGCTTCAAATCTCTTCGGCGAATTCTGCTCGTCCAAATGGGGAACATCAGTGACCTTTCTGATCCAGATTGCCTGAATCCAATCCGGATGTCTTTTGTAGAGTTCAGCATAGGCCTCTGGATCCTTCTGAGTCGAGTCGCCAATGCAAAGCACCTTTCGCTGGGGGAACCAGCCATGAATTTTTTCTGCACGGTCCACCTTGTATTCCATAGTGTTGACAGTGAACGATTTAACCAGCTCGCTCACATCTAGCCAAGATGTATCACGGAGGATCAGGGTTCCCGGGTTGAAATAGGTGTGAATGAAGCCGTGCAAGAACGGATACAGGTTGTATGGAGAAGCGGAAAGGTAAAACCATGTAGGCGTAAGGTCATATTGAAGCCTGGCATAAAGCTGAGGCATTCCAACGGTCGGCCTGGGCTCCTCCACGAAAGTTGTGCGAAGGATACCGGTTGACTCGGAGGTCTTGGTGTACTTGATGGTATCGTCAATGTCGGAAATGACAAGCCAACCCTCCGCACTGGCGTACGTCGTGCTCATCGTCACCTCGCTTGCCCAGCCGCGAAGGTACGAGCGTAGTTTCGTACCGTCTGTAATGTGGCGACTGTTAACTCCCACCGTTTGGCTGATAATGCCGCTACCATCCGTAGGCCCAAGCTGATGAATTTGGGTCGCATTGTTGGGCAAGGGTGTTTCCAACATCATCAAGTGCGCAGGTGTTGTGTGATATAGAAATGGCTGAAGTCGCTCCGCTATCCGATGACGAGTCTCTTTATCTGTGCCAATCTCCCCGTCCAGTCCGATGAGGTCTGCAACCATGGCGACGAGTTTACTGAGGTCCTTCCTGCTGTCTCTCTGGAATACACAAGCAACAACTTCTGCCCGCCATAGGTTGAGCTCGGTTGAGCCAGATATCGGTGCCTGGTATGCTGTGTTGTCGAACAGCCAGACGGTATGTTCGCGTTCATTTGCCATTTGTATTGCAGGCGAAGGCTTTGCCAGAAAGGATACTAAGAATTGCAACATGGCTGAATCCCGTTTCCACGCATGAGCCACCTTGGCCACTCGCTGAAGTACTGAAGTGGGTTTGGAGTGTGAGTCGGAGCTCATCTTAAATGCGAGGTGACTCTCTTGAGGGTCAACTATAAATAAGAGATAGGTTTATTATCGCTAAACTTGACAGATGGAATGTAGCAGTGTAGGTTGTACTCCCAAGCACGAATGATCAGTTTTGAATGTAAAGTATCGCTCAGGACGGTGTCCTGATATATAGGGCCACAGAGTGCGCCTGATCTGGAAGACTAGACGGGCCATATCCCAAGCCACAAGGCAGTGAAGCCCTTGGCCAAGTCAGGTAAGCCAACCTGAGTCATTTTTGGGTCAGTCAGTCAGAAGAGTAGGCCATAAGGCTGAGGGTATCGTGTGGGGTTCCTGGTCGCGAGAACCACACATAAAAGGCGCTTCGACTGCATCGATACAACTAAATTGCCGCTTGGCGCCCGAGTCAGCCTGCAAGGGCTCGTGACCCTATCAGAGCTCGAGGCTCAGCGGCTGACCGCTGACGATCTTCTCTTGCGTGCCAATGAACTGGCCATTTGCCCCGGTCAGATGCAGGGAATGTGCAGGAACTGGAGTAGAGGTCAATCTTGGTCACTGGGCATGTAAGGGATGCCGGCCCGTTGGATGTCGGATCGCTGCCCCCAAGAATAGATTTAGTAAGACATCGTACTTAGCGCTCTATTGTGTCTCCGCTGAGTTACGCAGTACGCAGGTTTGGCAACATCGCCACCATGCATGCCGGCGAACTAGAGATGCGATGAACGTTGCCTTCCATGACTGTTTCGTTGCTTTGTGAGTCGTTCGTTGCAGGGTTGCAGTCACAGTAAGGTACGGGATAACAGGGATTCAGTCTCCGCCTGAAACATTATGAGGCAGTGCTATCGTGTATAGCCCACCAAATAGGAACAACACAAGTCTGACCTCGGACTGTTCGAGGAGGAATGAAGTCAGAGAGGAAAGATGATGCGGAGGGAGTACTGGGTAGGTAGAATAAAGTACGGTACCTACAGCTGGAGTATGTACTGTACAGTAAGCTCCGACAGAGACGCGGCGCGGTTCGGGTCAGTGGGGTTACCTGTTTGGGTAATTTGATTTGGCCTTCCCTTCCTTTCTTGGGGACAAGACTTTGCACCGTCCCATACTAAGGCTCCTCAGGAACAAGGCAAGTCGGCTACTTCACCTGCCATCTAATACCCATTTCGAACTAGTCAATGACTGAGTGCCTTGGTTTCTACTTTCTTCTCAATATGTCGGAACGATAAAGCTTGTTACTGGGTGGTTGACATGCTCAATCTAGGTTGTACACAAACACGTGCTCGCCTATACTCTGCCGCGTCTCCATATCAATATTGCAATTTTACAATCTAGTAGGATGTTGGTTATATGATCATAGCATACTCTAGATCAGAGACTAGCAATTGCCGCCATGCCTGATCAAACCGTGTTCCAGAATACATACAACGCGCGTGCTGGACGCGTCTATACACGAAAAAAAGTCTCCGATGAGCCCCAACAGCCCAAACGGAAAAAGGCATCGTCTTATTCGAAACTCTCTGATCGCATGCCGATACCCAAACCGAAAAGAATCCACGAGGTTGTTGACCGGAACAGTGGTCAGGTGTACTTGGAGTCTTTTAAGGAGCCTTCCTTGGCCTCTTCCAAGGGTGCGGCCTGGGTCCATGAGACGCCTTTCCTGCCTGAAGGATGGGACAAACAACCCGTTGCACGTGGTGCACCTTCATTGATGCATGCGGCAACGAGACAAGCTCTGTCGGACCAAAGAAATCTTCGACCCGAGCTGTTTGCTTCCGTGCCATGGCGGCTCGCAAAGTCTCTGTGGGATATACTTGGCCAGTGGTAAGAGGTGCCTATCCTCCTTAAACAGCTGCGAGATCCTAACTCCCTTGCGCTCAAAAGCAACAAACAGACTACATATGCCTGGAAACTATTCGCAACAGCATATCCCGAGGAGTTCGGTAAGATTGCTTCGCACCGTGCCATGAAGGTCGAGAGCCCCCTCATGCCGATGCAGGACTACTTGAGTCTGGTCAAAGGTGACTCGTTGAGCTGGGGCGCGTGCTTAACTCTGGCTGCCACACATGCTCGAGTTCCTGATCTCGTAGGCTTGGCTAACATACCCAATCTCATTGCGCTGGAGATTGCCACACCACTGCAGTATGAAGGCATCCAGGACGAGAGCGAGGCGCCTATGGTTGATCTCAATGATCGAGTTGTGCGGTCGTGGAGTGAGTTGGCACAGAGCTCCGCGGGATTCGCAAATTTGAGGGTCCTGATGTTACAATCTCAGTCCAACATCTCATCTGTCGCACTACGTTACCTCCGTGACTTGCCAGCACTGCGGTTTGTGGTGCTGAATGGGTGTCCTGCCATTCCAGCCGGCGCTACGGTTGGGTTTGAGTTAGAGGGCTGGACTGTTGTGGATATGGGCGAAGTGCCGAAATCTGTGCAGAGCATCTACCAGAAGACGCTGGAAATTGATGGGGCAGAGAAGTCGACCTTCCCTGTTGATGCCCCTACCTTCTCTCTTCAAGTTGGGCAGAAAACACTGAAGGTCTTACGCGCGACCTCGAAAAAAACTCATCGTGCCGTTGGCTATAATCCCATTTGTCTTCGGCGCATCAAGGATTATGCCGAACCGCCTGTTAAGAAACAGAAAACGACTTCTGATCAAAGACCTGCAGGCTCAAAACGGGCAGTAATGAAAGTGCGCAAGCTGAAAGATCTTGGGGGTATGCTGCAGGACTTTCTCTAGCTGGAGTGGATACACGTGATGGATGATATATGATGTCACTTGCAGGAGACAGGCGCATGAGATCTCTCTGGCTCGTATGTACCTGTACGGCTGCAAGCGTGCGGGTGCCTGGTGATCGCGCAAATGATCTGCATGTACTCCGTACTTCTTTGGCTTTCAAGGCTTCATTTCCTGTGAGCTCACTGTCCATGGAAGTATAACATGGATGTCCCAGGCCTCCGTCGGACTGGAGATACAATGACGCTGGCATGACCAGCGGGAGGACGCTAATTGGCTGACAGCCGCCGCCTCCCCGCGCTACTCCCGACCGGTTGACGCCAGTTGTTCCCCGCCTTGTGATTGTGACTCGATTCAATGACTCCATCGTCCCCAGACGCCGATTTCCTTTCCTTTCTTTTCTGACTGTGCGTCTTGGCTTATAGCCCGTTGACAGGCTCTTTTGATATCTGATCTCTGATTCGCTTTCTCCGTTGCTGTCTCCAGCAGGAGTACTGTAACTTACCTAGTAGTACCTACTGCATCTCAACCGAAAGTTGGGCATCGCCTGCCTCCGAGCTCCCCTTACTGGTTTACCCCTCTTCGACCACACCCCACGATGGCCGACTATCCTGTAGATGCGGCGGCGGAGAATGATTCCAGTGGATCGAATATCGCATCGCCCCGCTCCAGCACAGATTCCCGGACCACTTCTGTGGGCAACCGATCTCTCCGACTTTCATCTCACACGTCCGGTCACCAGCACCGCCAAAGCATGAGCGAGAGCCTTCGCGGAACTCCTGGGTCTCCGAGGGCTCGACGACAACCGTCACTCACCCAGTCCGCCATTCAGAGCCTCATTGATAATCCTCCGGCTCCAAGCAATGTCAACTCTGCATTCGCCGGTCGGGACTGGCGGGAAATCCAGATTGGCGAGCTTGTCAGTCCCAACGACTTGAAATTCGTGGAGGTCGATACCGGGATTGAAGAAGCGACGAATGTAAGCGGCCAGGAAACACTTCTATCGGTCTACTTTCTTTTTTCTTTTTTTTTTCTTATCACAAAGACTGACACGCATAGATCTTGATCGATACCGCAGCTCCGGTGCTCCTGATTCGAGAAACGCCTGACCAGAAGTCTGCCGTGGGCACTTTCGACTACTCCGATCTCAATGCATACCTTCTGTTGGCGTCAGGACTGACGCAACCCGATGAAACGTTATTGGCATCGTACGAAGAACTAGCCCGAAAGGCGAAACAGGGCATCAAGATTCCGCTGAAGGATGTGAAGGATTTGGGAAGGAAAGAACCGCTGACAACGCTGCCTGCGTCGGCCAATGTGATGACGGCCGTGCAGACTTTCGGGGGAGGTGTGCACCGCGTTGTGGTAGTCGATGAACAAAAGGAAAGGGAAGTGGTGGGCATCTTCAGTCAGTACCGGTTGGTCAAGTTTCTGTGGGAGAACGGACGTAGCTTCCCGGTGATTGACCAGCTCTATCCCCAATCCTTGCATGAGCTGGGAATTGGTTCGCGCGAGGTCATCTCAATCAAGTATGTTCCAATGTCAGATGCAGATGCGAGTGATACGTACTGACATTTTCGTTGCAGTGGGGACCGGCCGCTCTGCGAAGCCCTTCAGGTCATGAATAACGAGGGGGTTTCATCAATCGCCGTGGTGGACAACCATTTCAATGTGGTGGGCAACATTTCAACAACCGATGTTAAGGTATGTTCCACTGTCCTCGAATAGCACAAGCGTCGCTGACCTCGATAGCTACTCACCCGGTCGTCCTCACTCCCACTACTGCGCAACACCTGCACACATTTCATTTCCGTTATTCTGTCTACACGTGGCCTGGAAGAGGGCAAGGACTCATTCCCAGTGTTCCACGTAAACCCGACCTCGACTCTAGCACATACCGTCGCCAAAGTGGTTGCGACCAAGTCTCACCGGTAAGTTTAGTAGTATCTGCTCCAGATAGTGCCCGGCCTGACTATGAATCATGATACAGCCTGTGGGTCACCGATCCCCTGTCGCCCGCCTCGTCAGGGCCCCCGACCCCATCTCATTCATCCGTGCACATTCCTCTTCCGACGACTACGCAATCTCCGCCGCAGACCCCCGCGATCGGCAGTAATCCGAGCCTACAGGCCCCGAATTTCAGCTCTGCGCACTTGCCAAGCCCGCCCCAGTCGTTCCTCGGCGCGACAACCATGGTGCCATCGATCCCTGCGTCAGCTCTGCCGGGGGCACGGCTCTCGGGACGCCTGGTGGGGGTGGTGAGTTTGACGGATATTCTGAACCTGCAGGCCCGGGCGAGCGGGCTCAGTCCGGCCGATCCAGCGGAGAGTCGGAGTCAACGTCGCCGGAGCAGCAGCTCGAGTGTAAGTGTGCGACGCAGTGGGGAGATTGGACGGGAGCTGTTCAGTGGGAGGATTGTATAGTTGAGTACGACGGGATGCAGATGCAACCAAGACAGGCATTGGCTTCACTTCATCATTTGTTTTTCAATCAGCTTAACCATCATCAAGTGACAATACATACACGGATAGCCACCCGAATAACTGGGTCATATTTACCTCTATTGGACGCATGTAGCCGAGAATACGTTACTGGAAAATCATCGGTCCTTGCCCTTAGGCACCCGAGGTAGTGGGATTCGCCTCCCACTTACCATCAAGCCATCCATAAACACCTACAGTATAGTACCTAGCTAGCTCGACTCCATTAGAAATCTCCGACAAAGCTCCGAAAGAGTATACCCTGGAACCGGGGAGGGGAGAGGTGGGGATGGGGGGCGGCAACCAGAAGTACTGCCCGGATCCTCCCATCCCAGCGCATCCCTTCACCCTCGGCAATCAAACAGCAATCGGCAGTAATCAAACAACATGAAGAACAAGAACAAGAACAAGAACGAAAAGTCCCCATGGCAAAATAGGTCAGACTCCATTCCCTACCGTACCTTAGAACCTCAGCACCTTCGCCTCTAAGCCTTAGTATCAATGCGTGTGCATGTGCATGTGACAGTGTACGACGATCGATCGATCGACCAATCCAACCATTCATCCATCCAAAACAATCAATCAGTCAGTCACTCAGTCAGTCAGCTGTCGGCCATCCCCGAGCAAAAGTCTCTTTTAGCTAACGAGCGAGTGAGCATCTACGGCTACTCAGTATTTGGGACAATCTGAGCGAGCGAGCAAGCGAGCAGCAAGAGACAGATGATAGAGTTTCAGGGTTATCCGTGGGAAAAGATCAATCGATAAATCCTCCTCCTGCACCTCCTCCCGTGTTTCCCTTCCCCCCTCCCCGCCGGCGGCGGCAAATCCACTTTTTATTTTGGGTTACTACATGTAATGTAGGTAGTTCGCCTCCAGATATTCGGTAGGTAGCTTGGTGGGTTAGGAAGGGATGGGCTGGGGTTGGTTGTTCGGGGTTTGGGCGGAGAGGCAGGCTTATGTGGAATGGGATGGAATGGGATGGGACGGTAAGGTAGCGGGGGTCTGTGAGTTCTATCCAGTACATCAATGTACAGTACGGTGTTTGCTGGTGGTGGTGGTGGTGGTGGTGGTGGCGAAGTCAGGGAATTTCGTTTTTAGGTGTTGCTCGGGGTGAATATCGGGGATGAGTGTTCAGAAGAGGGGGTTGTATACGAGGTATGATCGAATAGGTAGGTAGGTAGACTGACAGAGAGGGGGGGAGGGATTGTTCGGGGGTAGAGATAGGAAGCGAGTTTGAGTATAGACGAGGGAGGACTGGACTGGGTGATTCTAGACCGTCAATCACCTGACTACGTACGCAGAACAGGAAGACAAAATCGAAGCGGAAGATAATTCCCCAGGCCAATGCCCTCCCTGGCTCTTGAACACTTCCCATACTATGAGCAATTTCCTAGACTACCTACTGAGCAGTAACTACTACAAATACTGAGAACTGTCATTTGGATCCATAATAGATCGCTAAGCCTGACAAACCCTAAGTCCCGAACACCCTTCAGTCCACTCGTAGCGAATCAACTAGCTATGAATCAGTTGAGATTTCAAATCCCTGTTCCCCCCAAACGTCTCTCTCAAACTCAGTTTCAATAAATCAATAGATTTTTACCGAAGATATCAGACCATCGTGCGTTGATAGTCAGGCCCAGAACCCAGCTAACTAACCACTAACTGACCAAGAGGACGCTTGCGTGCATTAGCCGGCGCCCTTATCAGACAGGACATGTAAAGTAAATCGGTAATGCAGATACAAACCCTGTAATTACTAGCCCACTGCCGCACGCACACCTGCACTCAGCACAGACCAGAACCCAAATTAAATCAACGATCCACCCCGATGGATCCAATCAATCGACGTATCAGTCATTAGAGTTGAGATGGAGGGATTAGTTGAACCATTATTAACGTTACCACCGAGTTCAAACCCACCCCCACACAAGCTTGGGAATGGGGCCACTGGCCAGCCCGCCCTGATCGGCCTCAAGACTTTCTTCCAACTTGCACGTTCAAGAGGAACCTAGCTATAGGTTCAGAAGTTGCTACACAGGCAGAATTGGACTACCTGGTTGATTTAGCTCGCAGTATCAGGACCAGATTAGACTTCACCAGACCACCAGACCGACAATCACACATTCCAGCACCACACCACACCAACCCACACCACACCAATCCACACCACACCACCACACCATAGTCCAGTAGTTACTTACAGTATGTAGTCCACAAGCAGAGACGACAACAAATCAAACACACAAAATAAGCACTCTATCCCCGATAACCTCGCATGGCAGACAGAAGCTTAGTTACTCGTAGTTCCTCAGCACTACTGTACCCCTTTACGAAATCATCATTCTCCCTTTGGTATGCACACCATCTACAATCCCAGATACAGCTGTGACTACCTAGTACTACAGACTGCAGCTCCAAAACCCCCAACCAACCACTAACTTAACCCTCTGAGAGAGCCCCATCAATTGAAGAAACTGCACACGACTCCAAAAATTCTGCCAAATCCCGCAATATGCCACCATGACATAGGATGCAAGAACAATGCGAAAGAATAATGGGAAGGAAGGTGAAAGAAATTTTTTTTCGGCAGCTTGCTTGCTAACTCCCAGACTTCTCCAGATTTGATCGGCAAGGGATCGATTGATCGCTGTTTGCGGCTTGTCCGTCCTTCGATGTAACGCTGCGGGTGGATGCAGTGGGTGTGTGCCTTGCCCTTACTTCCAGCCCTTTTCCCCACCCTTTTTTTCTAATTCCGTGCAGAGAAGAAAAACTCTTGCTTCTTCCACGGATCGGGCTTGTCCTGGATGCTGATCGATTTCGTTTGGATACATAGTCTGCAGTCAGATTGGGAGGTCTGATACCGAAGAAAATAAAAGGATTGGAAACATAGGTAAGGCCATCGTCTCTCATTATTTTGTAGTAATAGTAGTAGATAAATCACTATATCCATCACGCATGTCCGTACCTGCTCGCAGATCAAATCCCATCAACGCCATAGTCTTCGGGTATTGCTGTACTTCTCCACCTCCCCTCCTTGTGTACAAATTGTACAGATATAAGTCCAGCCCATGCACAAGCACTCCTGCCTCAATCCCTCCCAACCGATCGAGTAATAAGACAAAAACTAAAAATATAGTATGTAGAGTCACAGAAAGAAAGAAGAGAAACCAACGAGACACGCATCAAGCACTGATGGGGTACTCTTCCAATGTGAAGAATTCGTCAAAACCCACATCCGCCTCCGGTAGCTGGCTGCCACTGCCCAATCCAAATGCGAAGCGGCTAAATTCATCATATTCGGGATCCAGATGATCAGCTTGGTACGTCACCTCCACACCCTCCTCCTTATTCAGGTCCAGTCCCCAAACACCACCGTTCTGCCCTGTGGAATGAGGGGAGTGTGGTGTACTCGGCGTAGGACATAAGTCGGGCGTTGGGATAATAGGCTCGGCAGAAGACCCCATGTCCTGCCCACTGCCGCGCGGGGAGCTCATTTGCGACATTGTAGTGGCAGGCAGGCCGTGTGCCAGAACTATTTGACCTGGCTCCGATCGGACGCGGTTGTGTTGGATCACATTGACCGGGCGGCTCATCGCTGGAGTTGGGGGAGTCATGGTAGCAGCAGCTGTGGTTGTGGTTCCTCCCACGGCAGGAGTGCCCATCAAAGGAGAAGCGGCTATGGTGTGGACTGGGATGACCGGTGCGGACGCCATGCGGTCTCTAAACTGCCGCACTGGCATCGCGGCCATCTCTCCTAGAGAGGCTGTAGGCTGCTGTAGCTGAGGGGATAGATAACCTGCAGTCCAGGGTGACCGGAAGGGCTGCTGCGGGCCGAGTTGCTGCTGCTGGTGGGCGACGGGGGACCAGGTGGGTCCGCCCGCCTGGGCAATGTAGGATGGCACTTGGCCCGCCGAAGCAGGAACAACGTTGGGATACGACGGCGACTGCGCAGTCCCGTCCAAATTAGGGGAGAGCACGTAGCTGCTAGGGTTCGCCGACAGCGGACTAGTCATTGGTCCGGGTTGCACCCTGCAGTCCTCTGCGATGGAAGATCGCAGCCCGGACAGATCAAGGCTCATTTTGCGTATGCCGTTGATCGAAGCGCGCGGGTTCATATGTGCACTTGCAGCTCGCCGCTGATGCAGACCACCGCCGGGACGCGCACCATGCCAGGCGGCCATTAGGTTCCGGTTAAATTCGGCATGTAGCTGCATGGACTGAGCATGCAGCATCCGGTTGATCTTCTCTTGGTAGCGGTCATCCACCTCTTCGTACATTGCCTCTCGCTCCACAATGTCTCTGCTGATGAGAAGAGCCTTGCCGGTGCGTTGCTTGTGCAGGCTGGAGGCCCGGTTGGCCGACTCCACGCGGGCATCGAGGCTTCTATCTTTCCGTCTCGAAGCTGCAATGAACGCTCTGCGATCAATCAGCATAGAACAAGCCTCTTGAAGTCGGTGGTACTTACCGTTCCTGATTCTCCTCTTTCGTGCGAGGATTTGGGGCGACATCGAGGTCGATGCCAGGAGATCCCATTTTAAAGCAGTTTTTGAGAGTCAGGGAAAGTAAAACTGTGTGGGGTGGTAAATGTAAGCCGAGAGCAATACTGCAGTCAGATGAAGGCTGTAGAGATAGATACAGGAGCCCTGGGGCTGAAGAAGAATAGACAACGATAGACGGGTGATACCTCGTCCAGAGCAGGGCTAGAAATAAGATAAAGAAAAAAAATTGTAAAGAGCAGCCAGCAGGAGAAATTAAATAGATGGTTGCCAAGGAGGGGCATCCTACGCTGCAAAGCGGACAACGGAGTGGTTCAGGCCGAGAACCTACTGTACTTGACTACCGGAAATGCAAGCTGGGGAATCCCAAGCTGACAGGCGAAGAGACGCCCGAGTCCAGACAGGATCAGCCAGAGAGCAACCATAGCAAAGGCTGGGACTCTCCCCGGAGGGGGGGGGGGGGGGGTGGGGGGAGGTCTGGCGAGTTCTCAAAGTCTGCTGGAACCATGGGACGGGCAACAGCTAGAGTTCTTTGCGGAGCTGGGTCTAAGCATCCTGGACAGCTGGCGAGAGTACATATCCATGGGAAGACCTGAAGTCATTCCCAGTCGTTCGAAAGGCAAGGTAGCTAGGGAATGCAGTAAAGTCAGACCGGAAGTATTGTCCCAAGGCCATGATTGCGAGTGTTCAGGTGTAGAGGAAAGGAAAAGTCTTGCAGATGAGCATCGAAGAAGAGGAATAGAGGAGAAGAAGGAGACAGTAGACGACTGAAGGGAGGGGGGGGGCGCGGCGGAAAGGACAAAGGACAGTGTTGGGCTGACTGATTGCTCGTAAACCCTTGAGGCTGTCTCCAAAGTCAATTATTCGCTTGCTTAGCAAGCCTGGAGCGAGTCTTGGAGTCTCTATTGATGAACAACAATCTGAAGGAAGGAAGGAAGGAAGATAAGCTGCCAGTGTTTCATACTTCCGTTACCGTATGGTACTGTCACTCTGCAGCCCACTGATCGCCAATCCTACCCAGAGCGGCAAGAGCAATCGGACTTAGGCGGGACATGAGCTTAGTCACCCCTGCAATTGAGTGTCAATTGAGTGCTGCCCCACTGTCAGCCTGCGGGGTCATGTATCGAATCTTGCATGATTAGTGGTAATGAATCGGTTTGGCGCTACTGTAGGTACATACATGGATACGAATCCAACTCAACAACGGGTGAGTGTTGCACCTAAACTACCTACTTAGTACAGTACATTGTAGTTATGTAGTAGTACACTGGACCTACAGCTACCTTTTCACTTCTTCCTGCCGCTCATTATTACTCAGCCATGAAACGATGTGATGATCAACTGCAGACATCGCCTAATGCCGCCTTGTTCTTACCCGATCAGGGAATTGCCCTGAACACGAAGATGACAGTCTCTCAGTCTCATCTTTGAAGCTGTTTGACCCGGAGGAAAATAGTTGACGGGTCCCCTCCCCTCTCTGCAGTCTCGATAACAGACAACTTTCTCTTGTAACTCTTGGAAGAGTTCATTCCCTCCCCCCCCCAAATCCTTGTGACTCCTACCACCCCGTAACCACCTGGTCGGGAATTCGCCCCTCTCCCCGCAGACCAGATCTGAGAAGACGAAGATCTGACAGATCGCAGCTGCCGACTCGATGGCACATGGACATTTACTAGGTTACTTGCAGTCCTTGCCCGTGTCAGATCCCGAAGAAGCCCGGAAATAACCGTGGGATGCGAGGAAAGACGAAGACGTCCTGTCCTGGTCTGTGCCACCGCCACCTTCCCACTTTCTTCGTACTTCACGCCTGTCAACCCACTTGCCAGCATTCCCATCAACCCGAAGTTTTGAAACGGGACCCATTCCAATTCCTCACAGGCTCTCCTTGAACTCTACTGTACCTTTTGTTGGTTACAACCTCTTGCCTTACCTCACTGCCTTTCCCCCACTCCTTCCCACCATTCCCCCGCTCAGCTCATACACCCTTTGATCCCCTCTTTAACTTCACGACCAATCCTGGTCCCAGCCATCCTTCTTTCCCCTCGTCGGCCCAGCAGCCACTCGGCCGACGCTCCCTGGTACGGTCTCTCGGCAACGACCCAATCCATTCGGAGGGACAATGCCCGTCTCAGGGGTCCTATCCCAGCCTCATTCCCGAATAAACCTCCGGTGGCTGTCCAGGGCCACCCCAAAACAGGTCCGGAGAGGGGTGGGCTGTCCATGTCAGGAAACAAGAAAACATTGGCAGGTTGTCAGGGAAGGAGGGGAAAGATCCTTATCACCAAGAGAAGCGGCCACGTTTCGCTCACTGCTTCAAACTGGCTCAGGTATACATGGATACGAAAAAACTATGCAGGCTAGTTGGGAAATCTCTCACAAAACAGAGCAGAAACCGCGAAAGTCACAAGAGATTCAAATATCAAACACACCACCATGCCTGGAACAGGTTCAAACCATATGTCAGGGGGGTTCCCTCCGTTTGTCTCCTCCCCTGGCCCTCTGGTCAGCTGTAATCCAATCCCTCATCTCCTTTAGGCAATTCCCAATGATGGGACCATGCCCTGTTCTTCTTTGCGCTCGCTACCCACCCGGTACGAGACGCGGAACCGCATCTTGATCGCGTTTCCTTTACCCATCGGAACCCTATCCACTAACATTTCCTGTTGCACCCCGTTCGCCTGTGAGGGTGCAATGTCCCGTCCCGACTGCGGCCGCAGTTGCAGTGTGTATGACTGTGCAGTTCCATTAGCATTTGATTTTCAGAAGTCATCCGCGGGGGAGAGGGGGAGAGAAGATGCTCACCTTCTCCACGGCCACTTGAAAGTGTAATTCACTCAGTGGCTGGTTAGAGCCGTTGGAAAACAGGGCTACCAAATGAATCTGCTGTGTCTGTTGGGGATGTCGGCGCGCCATGAATTCAATTCGGAGGGTCGAGTTCAGCACCTGCACACGATTCATGCTGGGTAGCGCGTTGCTTTCTGGCAGAGATGAGGCGAAATTCCATTCGTCCTCCTCTCGCGCCTTGGTCCGGCTGTTTGCTGGTGGCGCAGGCTCGCTTCCCATCAGGTCCAGCAAAGAACCTGCTGGCGGCTGAGAGTTTGAGGCCTTGCCGGAGGGCAGAGGACTGGCCTGTCGCGACCCAGCAGACACCAAGGACGCAAACGGATCGAGAGCAGGAGAAGGGGTTGCCGTAGCGGGAGAAGAGATGATGCTCTGAGGCCGCCCACCTGGGGCGGGCGTGGATGACTGTGAGGGCGACTGAGATGTGTTCATCGAGGAGAAGATGTCATAATTGGGCCTGAAGCTAGTGGACGCTTGGGGCATCGGTGGCGTCGCGGACGTCGTAGGGGCTGCGAGATCAGGTATTAGCACGCATCAACGTCACAAGGTATGTGAGTCGCCTACCAGATCCCAGCAAGATTCCACCATGAGCCGGAGCAGGCTCGTCTATTGACAGTCCCAACAAGTCATTCTCCAAAGAGTTACCTCCAGTAGCAGTAGGAGCCACGGCCCCATTGCCGTTGGCGTTCGGTGCGGGTTCGGGATCAAAGTCGATGAGGGAAAGTTCATTATTAGCGTTCTTCGACACGCCCGTTGTCGTGCCCAGAGTACCCTTGGGGATCTGGGAGGCCGCCTCCCAGTCGCCCTTCTTGACAAGCTTGTATCGCTCGATCGTGCGGTGTATACTGTCATTGATCTCGAGCAGCTTCTGTACGGCCTCAGGATCATCCGACTCCTCCTCGCACATCTTCTGGATCTTGGGATGGGCGCTTTGGAGTGCACTCGCCAGTTCCTTGTCGATATCCGTCAGCAGGTCTGTGCCAGTTTTGAGAGATAAAACAACCTACTTCGAAAACGTCCCCTTCAGCGACTCGGTCGCCCGGCTGGTGGCTTTGTAGCATTTCCTCCAATATCTTGGCTTTTTGCTGCACCTTGGCCACCTCTTCTGCCGCCTTGGCCCGATAATCCGTCTTGTGTCGGTTGTCGTAACCGGCCATGACCTTCATCAACCGGTTGGCTTCTTGCAAGTCGGCGGGTGTGCCTCTGCGGATTAGCTCCTGCAGCTTAGCGGATTGAGCCTCACGCTCTTCCTCTTCCATTTCTTCGGCCGAGCGAAGGTTCTTGACGGGTCAGCGGAACGAGCGTTCAAAATCCGAGAGGGTAAACTCACGTCACTGGGATTCAGAACCGCAGCATCCTCATGGCGAATTTCCGGGAACACGTAGCCCTTGTAAAGTAGCAGACGGTGCATGTCCCGAATGTGGCCTAGGTCCTCCTTGTACCTCGACGTCTGACAGATCGTCTGTCGCCACTCCTCAATGGACTCGAGGATGCGGTGTTGCACGCGCGATGGCCGTATGGCCGGGCGCTCGGGGAAGCGACGGACCAGCTCATTGAGGAACTCCTTGGTGCTGATCTGAAGATGAAAGGGGTAACCGCAATTCTTCACACAAATGTCGAGCAACTAGCCGAAAGTGTGTCTCGTCAGTCCCATATGTTCCGCGCCAGGCTACCCGATGACATTGTTTGAGGCCACCTACTGCCAACGCCAGTAGCGCCACGTTTTGGTTGCGCGAATTGATCAGATGGACGATCTCGATAGCCGCTTCTCGAGGTCTGCGGAGCCCATTAGTTTTCCGATGGGTCGCTTCCCAGGAAGGCGGGGATGCGCAACGCCAGGCCAAAGGACTCACGCATTGCCTTTCTTGGAGTTTATCAGATCGGCCACTTCAAGATTCAGGGCGAGGTTGGGTTCATAGTGGGACAGGTCGCAGGCATTTCCTGTAGTAGTGGGAGATAAGGTATGAGCAATTCGTCATATTTCTGCAGAAGCTCCATATATCGAGAATTGTGGTGGTGGGAAAATCCAGGAGAAAGAAAACGAGAAGGAGGGGGGAGGGAGGGGGGCACAGAAGACACATACGGATAGCTCTCTGTAGCGGTGTTAAGCCCGGGTCAGCGTAGGCACCGAAGCGGTCCCTCGCTGCCATGCGTGCTGAAGCGGCCTCCAGGGTGAATTAATTGAAAAGAACCAACGGGGAAATGAAAATGATAGGGGGAGTAAATTGAGAAAAGTGAGTATAGGGTAGCGCGCGCGGAGGGGGATCGGAGTCGGGGAAAGCTTTTAAGGTAGTAGTAGTCAAAAGCAGTGGGAAGAAGGATGATGATGATGATGATGGAGTGGGTGGAATGAATTAATGGGGGAAGCGGACAGGGAAGAATGAGGGGAACTTCTTTCCGTCCCGATGCCGGGTTAACCTGACAGGCCAGGACGGACTTGGTTGGTTCAGTTGGCTGCTCTCCGTCACTGCCTGCATTTTCTCGACTCCTACACCACCATCACCTTTACACCTTCACTCATCCACCTCCTCTACGCGCTGCACACCAGTTTCATGAAATAGCTGTACATGCTTGCAGCCTGATACCTTACGCAATTCATCACTTTTTCTATACTAGCCATACAGACCTTCTAAACAGAAGCCAAAACACACTATGGTCCGCCACAAAAAGGACAACTTCTCCCGCGGCGGCAAGAAATTCTCCTCCGCCCCGCGCTCTCGTCCCTCTCCCCGCGGCGGCGGCGGCGGCGGCGGTGATGGCGACAGTGACACCGAGCAGGGCGGTTACTCTCGTCCTCCCTTCAAGGCCGCCTGCTGGGACATGGGCCACTGCGATCCGAAGCGATGTTCCGGCAAACGATTGATGAATTTCGGCCTGATGCGCGAGTTGGCGATCGGCCAGCGCTTTCCCGGTGTCGTGATCTCGTATGTTGTCGCTCGCCAGCCCATACCCACACTCACACCTAATATGCACATATCCATGGCCTAGAATATTTATGATGTAAATATCCGTATCATGGACTCTCGTTACTAACCTTCTTGCTTCTCTCTGATTCCCAGGCCCAACGCCAAAAAAGTCGTCTCCCCCGCCGACAAGGACCTTATGGAACAATTCGGTGCCGCGGTGGTAGAATGCTCGTGGGTGCGCACCAAGGAGGTCCCTTGGTCGCGAATCGGGGGCAAGTGTGAACGATTGCGTACGTCTTTTCATCATTTATGCCATCTACATGCATCCTCTCGATTCAAGCCTAATTCCTTTTTGTATTTCAAAACAGTCCCCTACCTCATTGCCGCCAACACGGTTAACTACGGCAAACCTTGGCGTCTGAACTGCGTCGAAGCCCTGGCGGCCTGTTTCTGTATCTGCGGCCACGAGGACTGGGCTCGCGAGGTCCTCAAACCCTTCCGCTACGGTGAGGCCTTCATGGAGATCAACGCCAAGCTTTTTAAGCGCTACGCTGCCTGTGCCGATGAGGAAGAAGTGAAGCGCGCCGAGGAGGATTGGCTCGCCAAGATCGAGAGGGAGTACGAGGAGAATCGGGCCACAGGTGCGGACGATATGTGGACCGTCGGAAACACGAACCGGAGGGCCGAGAGTGATTCGGAGGAGGAGGATGAGGACAAAGATGATGAGGAGGAAGACGAGGAGGAGGATAAGGACCCGTTCGCCATCTCGGATGATTCGGAGGAGGAAGAGCAGATGGCTGCGATCAGAGCGAAGATCTTGAATTCCAAGGCGTTCCAGAATTCCGAAGTCGAGGAGAAGGCGAAGCCCGAGCGGATCGCGAGGCCCGAAGAAGAGACCATCCCACAGCCGCTGAAAGAGGATTCAGATGCGGAGTCGGGGTCGGCGGAAGGCGGCAGTGATGATGAGGAGGATGCCTTCGATAATATCATCAATGCCACGCCTGTGACGGATCGCACGGGCATTATCGCGGCCCAGAAAAAGAAGCAGAGGGAGACGGTCAGTGCCTCGTTTTCGAGGACAGTGGTCGATGCGCCTAAAAGGTGGTAGTGGTAGTCCGTCGCGGGGGCCACTTGCACTCAGACAAAACTAACGAGATATCATGGAAATATAATGAAACAATCATGAAGTTTATACAGTTGGCATACTTTTGTATCTTGTGCAATTGCAGATAGGATATGCTTTAGAATAACAGACCGTTCTGACCATCCAAAACAAGCTGTGATCGCCAAAGCTGAGAAAGCAGTGAGAATAGCATGACAGCCCATAGTTATTATTAAGTATGAAAGGCACCGATAATTCTCACCCCATCGCTCGACCCGAAAAGCCCACAAACGCCTATTTACATGACATACCGCAAATTCACATCTATATTGCGTCAGAACCGCTTCCTACTTCATACATTATACCGGAACAACAGGACACTGCTTACCCAAGGGATGACTGCTGCTCAGCTGCGGCTTCTGCGAGTACTTGGTAGCCAACTCGTCGCGGATGCTGTTCAACAGCTGTACGTAGCTCTGCTGTGGGTTCTTGCGGAGCGCGCTGATGAATGCCCACGACATGGCTCCCGTGGCCTGTCCAGCAATCTGTGCGTCCTGGCTGGTCTGATCGTCTTTGCTGCCCGACCACATGATCACGTCTGCCGGGCTTGTCTTGGTCTGTTTGGTACGCTCGTACGCCTCGTCTCCCTTGGTCGCCTTCTTCAGGAATCCCACTGCCGTTGACATCATGCTGCTCATATCGCCCCGCGCGTATGCCGAGACCACGCCCAGCAGACCTTGACCCGCCTCCTTGGCCAAGTTGGGCTCCTTGAGAATGCCTTGGGTCGAGTAGATGTAAGGCAGATCCAGGGCAGATCCAGAATGGCACGAATCGAAGATCGCTGTGAGCCGCACTCCGGGCTGAAGTGGTTTGACCATGATGCGGTGCATCTCGTCATCGACAATATGTCCCGCGGCGCGGAAGTCGACCGGGTAAATCACCTCATCGTATCCATCGTCCTCGTCGCCGTCCAGATCAGGGGTCTGACCGCCGTGGCCTGCTGCCGTTAGACCAGCCTCGAAAGAAAAGATGGGTCAACATGTCGGCGCTTACCAGAGTAGTGAAAGAACAGAGAGTCGTTAGGCTGCGCATCCTTCACCAGCCAGTGCATAGCCCGGAGGATGTTGGCTTTGGTGGGTTGGCTCATAGGGTTTTGCTGGTCATCCGTCAACAGAACCATGTCCTCACGAGCATAGCCAAAGTTCTGATTCAGGTATGTTGACATATTCTTGACATCGTTGATACATCCTCGGAGTTGACCTTTCTGGTTGAAATAGTTGATTCCAATCAATAAAGCCTTTCTCTTGCCCGTGCAACGAGAATACTGGAAGCTGTAGCCTTGCGGCGCGCCCTGACCGAAAGACACCGGTTCACTTGGCGGAGGAGGAGGTCCGTTGCCCTGACTGCCTTGGTTGTAAGGGTTGGAGTATCCTGGAGAATGTCAGTTGCGTCAAAATTGCGCGTTAAAGCGGTTTGCGGCTTACCCTGCTGACCACCATATTGGGGAGCACTATAACCACCCTAAAGGACTGCCATTAACTGTCCGTTGCACAGGAAGATAAGAATCGGGCTCGCTTGACATACATTATAGCCGCCCTGAGGCGGTTGCGATCCCGAATACTGTTGGGGCGGCGGCTGACCGTAGGGGTAAGGATTGCTGGGAGGTGGTTGTTGTTGGCGGTAGGCCTGACCAGGGTATCCCCCGCCGCCGCCGCCATAAGACGCTTGGTGATGATGATGGTGAGGATTCATTTGTCTGGGACATTGATTAGCACCAAGCACGAGGCGTCTGTTTGATTATTTGCCCAAGCAAGAAAAAGAAGGCGACTGAAACTCACTGCTGATACTGTGGTGGCGGGCTGCCGTAGCTCTGAGGGGGGTAATTATACTGCTGCTGTTGCTGCTGCGGGGGATACCCGGGCGGGCCCGAATATGGAGGATAGTAGGACATGGCCGAATTGCAGAGGAAAGGCGAGGATTTATGGACGAGTCGCAGGAGCAGAATAAGAAAGGCTGATACGCAGGGCCCAAGCAGATCACGAGTCAGGAAATAAGACGAGAGGGCAAAGCGAAGAGAGAAGAAAGGGAGAAAAAAACAAGAAGTGATGAAAGAGGAGAAGAGGAGAAGAGAAGGTCAGATGGTGAGGAAGTGAGAAAGGCGCAGTCCGTCACTGGGGAAAGGCGGCAGTGGAGCCCGACGCGCCAATTGGTGCTTCCTCGGTTGGATTTACTTCTTCTTCAATAAAATAAGAGTAAGAGAGAAGAGAAATAAATAGACGAACAAAAATAGTTTATTGGGGGACGAAAACCATAGACTTGGATGAACATTTGGATAGGTTTAGGTCTCTCTCCTGCATATCGGTCACTCCGATCCCCAGCTGCATTGCGCCGATGCAAATAATACAATCTTCCTGCCAGGTGCCAACGTCAGAATTCCAAATGCACCCCTCCTATCACACATCGTTTTCGGCCCGTCCTCATTGCTGCCCATCCTCTGGCTATCAGCCATCATGGTGCCGCCGAAGAACTGCCGGGGGTATAGAACCTATCGATTCAAGGCTATCGCGAAAAAATTCAAGGTTCATGGCCTCGTGGAATTTCAGGACAGCAGCACGTGATGCCGTAAGGGCCCAGGAAGTGAGTGACAGATAGTGGGCCTTTCCCGATCGGGATAATTTAGTCTACGAACAGCCCCTATATCAAAAGGATCCAATATGGAGGGCGAAAATAAGAAGATAAAGAAAATATGGTATTATCCACAACCAACGGAAAGCACTCAAGCGCTATTCAGATTATTGATTGCTTTTATATTCAACCATTCCATCGCATACAGGTCCAAATCTATTCTTCGTCCGCCTATCGTTTACCGTCCGCGGCGAGGCATGCCACGTCCGCGGCCACCCAGAGCGCGCTGGGCAGCACCCGGCGGGAGTCCACGCGCCGGAGCCTGAGCTTGGGCTGACTCTTCGTTCTCTGTAGAAAAGAAAGGTTGTCACGTCAGCTCTAAACTAGAATCGGGTCGGGATGCTGGGTCTCTTACTAATAGTTTCGTCCACGCTCAGAATCAGGCAGGCTGCCTCAACAGCAGCCTGGATGGCATTGACCTTAACCAGACTGGGCTCCCACACGAAGGCAACCATGTTGTCCCGAACACCTTCGTTGTCAAAGTCTACACCTGCCCAGACGTTGCCCTTGCGGTGTTCCACCCGCAGGCGGTTCAGGATGTCCGTCGCGTCGAATCCAGCGTTGTCGCACAGCTGACGGGGAATCACCTCCAAGGCCTTGGCAAAGGCCTTGACCACTGCCTGCTGCTTGTGGGGCACGTTGCGGTCCGCGAAGCCGTGCATGAAGCTCGACAGTTCCATCTCGGTGGCACCGCCACCCGCAACAATGGTGGTGTGGCGGAGAGCACGCTTGACGATCATAATGGCATCGTGCAGACTGCGCTCAACCTCCGCAATAAATTGCTCCGCTCCACCGCGCAGCACGAGTGTGCAAGTCTTGGCGGCAGGACATTCCGAGAAAAGATTGTAGCGCTCACCACCAATTTGACGTTCTTCAAAGACACCGCATGTACCCAAGTGACGATCTTGGATGTCACTGCAAGTCGATTGCGTTGCCGCACCGGTCGCCTGGCAGACCCGGTCCATATCATCGGCAGCCACACGACCAGCACAGAAAATATCGCGATCCGCAAAGTACCTGTGCACAGTGAATCGAACATTAGTGACTTGCAGGCCAACGGCAAGGATGGTGAAAGAAAGACATACTGCGTAGCCAAATCACCAATAGGCAGCTTGCTGAGAACAACCTTGGCGCCGGTCTTGTAGATGGCCTCCAGCTTGTTGTAAATGATCTGCCACTCGGCATCGACAATAGCCTGGTACTCCGACACATGCTCCACACGCACTTCGGCGTTGTCCTTCTCACTCTTCAACTCCAACTCAACGTTCAGACACACAATCTTGGGGTCTTTGAAGTACTTCGGCTGTTGCTCGAAACCGGCATAGGAGAAGGTCTTCTTGAAGGCAACACCGTTGACGAAGAGTGAATCCTGCAGACCACCACCAGTAACTCTCTTGATACCGATCAGCTTCTCGTTGAGGTCATCCTGGTCGAGCGACAAGACGGCATCCACCACCACTAGAACAAATTTTAGTTTCCAGGCCGGGACCCTTGTATAACCGGAAGGCCAACTTACTCTTAGTGAAGAAGTCTGAGTTGCGCTTAATAAGCTTGCTGTTCATCGCCGTTGCGGCCAGGCGTCGTAGCGTCTCGACCTTCTTCTCCTCGCTTCCGGCAGCCTCGATCATGTCGATAGCAATCTCTTTGATCTTGTTCACGGCCATGGAGCTGGCTCTCCGCAGACCCTTGACAATAGTCTGTGAACTGACTCCCTGCTCGACGAGTTCCCGAACTTCCTTCAAGATCTCACCGGCCAAGACGACAACCGATGTTGTTCCATCTCCCACTTCGGCATCTTGAGACCGGGCAATGTCGGTGAGAATGCGGGCGGCGGGGTGCACGATATCGAGGAGCTAGATGGAGGGTAAATGTCATCAGCATCCGACAGCGGGGTAAGGAATGTATTATCTGTCCAAGGAAAACAAGAAAAAAGGAGTCAAGTGAAGACATATGACAATCGGGACCGACGCACCTTCATGACGGTGGCTCCATCGTTCGTAATGGTCTGCTTGCCGTTGCCGTCCACCAGCAACAAGTCTCCTCCATATGGGCCGAGGGTGCTCTTGATCGTAGACTGAACTGCAACACAGGCATTGATGTTGGAGATAATCTGACCCTTTCCCTGCGAGGTGTCCGTGCCTGTTGGACGCAAAATCACAAGGTCAGTTAGCAACGATGCGCGGTACACACAGAAGCAGCATTTGGATGCGGGCGAGGTGACGGACCCTCCTTGAGCACGATGATCGTGGGAGTTTGGCCAGCGAAGGCCATTTTGGTGGAAATGAATGGGCGGAAAGAGAGGGCAAAGCGAGGGAAAGGTGAAGAGCCGAGAGCGAAAGCGTGGGGAGTTGATGGAAGAGTGGCCCTGAATAATGATCGCAGCTTTCTCGGAGGGGTCTCAATAATGCCTGCCTCTCTGACCAAAATTTCCCCGAGCTCCCAGCGTCGAAGGCGGTGACCAATCATGCCGCGCCCCGCAGCCCTCCTTTTCGACCGCCGGGGAGTAAGTTACTTAGTTACCTACTAGGTATTCAACTACTATGAGTAGCATAAACACGACCGCATCTCGTCTCATATTGTTCTCTTTACTCGGCTCACCTGGGCTGAGTATGATCTTAATTAGTGGTTTACTGTCAGTCGCGAGAAACTGTACAGCATCATAAGAGATCAGGACGAGCCATTATTACTGCCCTCACGAGCAGCTCTGTTCACAACCTTCCTACAAACATTGGTTCTAGACACTAATAATTCATGCAGCTTGACTCGGAGCTCCCAGAACCCATGTTTCATGGCTATGTGTCAAGAAAGCATTCAAACTCGAGTAATTGTCATCATGTGGCTGATGCTCTGGAGGCAGAAAGTCCTTCTGTACTGTCGGGCTGACGTTCCGTTTGCTGCATGCGAGAACATCATCGATGATTCTAAATCTATAGGCAGAAATACTCCATGATCGAGCACACAGACCTCTTCGATAGCTCAAAATATCTTGTCGAAAAGAAACTCCCTCCATGATATTGTGCATGAAGATGGCCATGAGTTCAGATTTGCGCCAGAACTTAAGAGGTCGCGGGCAATAAGACTGGCTCAGTTCGGGTCGAAGATAAAGTCCCAACGACTGCTGCAACGCCGAATCATCGAGTATTAGGCCAAGAAATGATTTGGTGTTGCATTGGCTTCCTTTCCACTGTAGCCCTTTCCACTGTAGCCGTGGAAAGGGGGGCATCTGCAAGGCTCAGTTGTATATGAGCACCAGCAAAGGCTCGGAAAGCATACGGTCCATGTACGCATTAGCGAACAACTTCTGTTGACCTTCAAAAGTTATCAAGTCTTTGGGGTTATCAACTTATGGGGTTACTCCAGGGTCAAAAATTCATGTATTGAAGGTTGCGTTGAGCAGTCGAGAAGTGATGTCACGCAACCGTATGTTTTCCACATCAAACTTCGGTTGCTTCTATGCTTCTACATGAACCACTTCTACTCCATGAACAAAGAGCTCCTCTAGCTGCGAACATTTTTCTCTACTGTAAATCCTCCGATTGTGTTGTTGCAGACTCTAGGTTACATCTAATAGCTCCAATGTCGACTGGAAATGCCCCTCAGTTCTACCCCAATACGCTGAGTCCTGTTGTGATCAGCAAAGGCTCCTTGGAAGATACACTGAAGCAGCTCCAAGAGGCTATTAAACATGGGGCTATTCTTCTACAGGAAAACTGTCCCCCGCTCAAATATTGGGGAAAATCCCATAATACTGGTTTCTATGCTGGTTTTCCAGGTATATCGTCGCCGCATATACCAACGGCCGCCGTTCCTTGATCAAATTACCCTTTGTTCGTGTTCCGCTGATGATAGCTTAGGCATCGTTCTGGCCTTCTTGCGCCTAGACCACCAAGTCAAATCACTTGGGGTTGGCTCTCAGGACTTTCATCAGCTTGCCATTGAGCGGATATTGCCAGAAGGCCCGGATGTGCCAATCCTGCATGAGAGAGTGTCTCCGTTCGGCTCTTCCAGCGCATTGGCTGGTCCGATACTACGCATCCTTGCCTCAAGGGACTTGAAGACAATAGTTCCTGGTGACGATACGGCATGCATCCAAGAGGCGATGCGGATCGCTCTGACTAATGGCCACATGGTATCACATGGTGGTTCGCTCATGGGATCAGACGAAGTTCTATTTGGCCGAGCCGGCTTGCTGTGGGCGTTGCTCAACCTTCGACTGCGTACTTATGAGGATGAGACAGCGCAGGCCTTAACACTGGTTTTCAAAGAGATACCTCGGCTAGTCGACCGTATCATTGCGAGTGGAATCGACGGTAGAGAAGACTTCATCTCCAAGCATGGAGAGCAATATGCATTGCCATTGATGTGGCATTGGAAGGAAGACCGGTACAGTCTTGGGGCGTTGGTATTTTCTCAACTAATGTTTTTGCACTAAACTGACAATGTGACCAGAATACATGGCATAGGCAAGTATATATACACTATGCGATAATCATAAGGTTTCGATAACTGACAGTTCTCTCTGATAAGCTGGCATACTTTCTAGTCTCCTTGCCTGCAAGCCAGAGGAACTCAGCAACGGTGCAGAACGCAACTATTGGCCACTAATAGCTGGAACAATTACAGGTCTTTGCAAACTATGTATTGCCAATGGTGGCCACCTGCCTACCAGTCTTCCTTTTCATGGCTCCTCGCGTCGCTCTAGCCCTCTTATTCAAATATGTCACGGCAGCCCCGGCTTCTTGAATCTCATGGCTTGCGCCAGGAGAAATCGTTCCTTGGTTTCCACTTCCTGGCAGCCGGAGTGGGATAAGGCCATTTCTGTGGCGTGTGATCGGGTCTGGGAGGAAGGAATCCTGTACAAGGGTGGCGGCTTATGCCATGGGATTGCAGGAAATGCATGGTCGTTGCTTCTCCTTCATGACAGCTTTCAGTATGATGAGGATTTCATGGAGACAACCAGGCGTAACTACGTCGCGCGAACGGGAGATGTTGATGCAGCATCCAATGCAAGCGAGCTAACAGGCGACCACTTTCTTGCAAGAGCACTCGCATTACTATTAGAGGCGCAAAAAACGCCCCCTTACAATGATTCGAAACGAGACTCGTCCTTGTACCGCATGCCCGATCGCCCGTATTCCCTCGCAGAAGGCCTCGCTGGCACTGTTTGTGCGTGGGCAAACGCTTGTGTAATCCTCCAGTCAAGGCTACGGAGCATGCACATACAGAATGACTCTTCCTCCCACAATATGGACGCTGTGTTTCAGGAGTACGAATCGCAGAAGCTGGAAATCCCAATGCTTGCTTACCACAAGCCTACTGGGCTACTATAACTATCTGTTTACAGAAAGCTGTCTATTCATCACGAGAATAAATCGTGCAAGTCAAATTGAACATTGCTATAATGCTCCAGACACATTAGAATGAAATGTGAAGTGTCAAATCAGCCATCAGAGGAACTCCTAGACGCCATGCTTATACTGGAAACTCAATCATTAGTCGGGTAATTTTTGCACCTGAATCCAAGCACCGTGAATAATTATTGTTGCCATAGCCATGTTTTAGAAGAGCGTGAAACCGGAGCGATACACAGGTGGTTGGCCTGGTATTTGAAACTTGTATTCAGCACGCCTCGGCACAAATTGGCCTTGCGGCGCCTCAACCGCAACCCTCCATCGCCGCCAACAATTTGTGATCTGATGATGCCTATCGCCACAGAATGAACACTGCTTTGGCCCGCGATGGGGCTGATTCGGTGGTGCTTGCGCTCGCGCTTGCTGGCCGCTGTGAGATTTTTCCGCTTGCTCGCGATGCATCTGTTCAATCACATAGTCGTTGATTTCTTCTTGGCTCGGCCTTTTGTTGTGGCCTCGTACACTTTTGCTGCGACTGTGTATCTGCTCGTCATGGGTCATTCGCTGGACGACAAAGGCGTTTATGTCATCTTGAGTCAGAGTATCAGGATCCATTGACGTCTTCTGCGGAGACGCAAAGCCTCGCTCTGAGATTGCGTTTTCTTTCCTGCCCTTCCCTGGCAATTGTCGCAGTCTCTCCTGCTTCATGGCCAGACTCGCCAGCTCTTGGAATGACATCCGGTCCTCCGGGTTGGAGGCATTTATGCGGCTGTCTCGCAGCATTGTCGTAGCCCAATCCCTCCAACCAGTACACTCTTTGAGCTTGGTGAGAAATAACAAATTGATCTGAGAGTCCGGTATGCGAAAACCATCATTGATTTGTGCGAGCCCTTCTCGAAGTGCTTCAATCAGAGAAATAAAGTCAGCGACCATATCGGATTTGTCGGGGTCGAGATCAACGAATTCCCCGATATAGTGCATCATCCGAGTATTTTGTTGCCAGGATCCCATCCTCAGCCAGGGACTCAAGGTACAAAGGATGCGCTCAGCAGGAACGAAAAACGAAGAAGAAAATGCTATAAGGACTGCATGGTAAAGGTTCTCTGGCGGCTTTTTGTGATGATTTGGAGTGTGTCTTGCAGACGAAGCGGGGGATGACGTCAGACGGGTACCTGCCCGTCAGCTTGCCAGATTCAGTAAGGACTCAGTTCACTCCATGGGCTTAATGATCCCCAGATCCATAGAGACCTTCTTCCCTTCTCTGCTTTCCTGACAGCTGTCTGCCTCGATCATTGACCACGAGGCGATCTTCGCGACCTCAAATGTCGTTCGTGCTTACGGACAGCAAATCAGAATCCACAAGCTTATTGCCTTATGGATCCTTGGTGTCTTCCTACGCCCCATCGCACCCCGTGGCAGTGCCCGGCGCGCTGACTGCAGATTTGGGGCCGAGCGTTTCTTGGCCCCCGACTTTATGACAACCAAATGATCGTCCCAATCTGTTAAGCTTGCTGGAACTTCCTCGTATTTCAAAGAACGCTGCCTCCTGATCTCGCCCCTACTCCGTCTGAGAAAAAAAAGAAGATATAGTGGTTCCAGACTAGCCCGAGAAATCACTAAGAGAACCAAGGCCCCCACCCAACCCACATGTAGCAACCATGGACACAGTGCCACCATCTTATCAGTCTGCTACAGCCCGCGATGCATGGTCCATTATATCGCAGTACATCCCATCAAGCGACCTGTGCGCTGCTGCTTTGGTTTGTCGGCGATGGCATGGGCTGTTCATGCCGTTTCTATGGGGTGACCCTGCTTCACACTTTGGGACTGAAAATGATGCAGTCTACGGTATGATACCCCGGTCTTTGGGGCGGGTGTTGGAATCTTAGCGCTGACGAAAGATATGCCATGCAGTCGCTTTGACAAGGTTCAGGCGGACACTCAAGTATGCCCGTCTCGAGGTGCGGATGCTCACTCATACGCTGCATCTACCCCCGGCCTTGTCAGAAATCTATGGTGGTCCACGTCCAGAGTGGCTGAGGGAGATCCTAGACTATCTGCCAAACCTCCAGTCTCTCATAGTGTCCAAGTTGCCTTTTTTCGATCATAATGCCATGATGGCTCTGAAGGGCGCTAGTAGGGGTGTTGAAGATGAAGCAACAACTTCCCGCACGTACAACATTCGCTTACTACTGGCGGACAGTGAATATAATACAACCTCACAGGGCATTGCAGAGACGCTGATGTACTTCCCTGAACTGACCTACCTCGATTTATCCTATACTACCCCTGCTAGAGATCACTTGGTTCTGTCGGCTTTATCACAACTAGAATGCCTTCGAGTACTCAAGCTACGAGGCATCGGGTTGAAAGATAACGATGCAGAGTTTCTTGCTAACGCCATTGGCTATCGTGTTCGGTTTCTTGACTTGCGCAACAACCTTCTTACTGATATGGCTGTGAGGTCTCTGCTGCAAGCCTGCTTTCGACCCACAAGCAATGTCACCGCAGAACTTAGCCCGAGAAGGACTGGAGCATGGGGCAGTCCGATTGGCGGATCTCAGTCAATACCCCTCTCGTCGATGCAAAAGTTTCTAAGTAGCCCTATGCTGGATGAGAAATACATGGCAGCATTGACCCAGCCACTAACAGGACGTTCCTGGGTTGAAGACTTATCAGAAGTTGGTATAACCCATCTTTACATCTCGGACAACCTCATTTCAGTAGAAGGAGCAGCAAGCCTCCTCGCCTCGTCTTGTCTGCACGCTCTTGACGTCGGGACGGTCAATACTGCTGAATCCATCAATAGACGACAGCGTTCGCTGGCTTCTGCAAATGAGGACCGTCAGGATCTTCCAGGAGCTGAGAAATTAGTCCCTGTCTTGGGCTCTGCTGCTAAGGAAAACCTTACATATCTTAGAGCCCATCATGCGCTCTGCTCCGCTGAAGTACCCGCAAAGGATGCCACATCACCCGACGCACTTTTGCCCGAACTCCCGGCAGGAAATATTAACGGTGAGCCGCGTATACCAGAGCTAGAGTCCACCAACGAGATTCATGAGCTACCAACGGATTCGACGCCCATTTATGAGCTCGACGGCACTCAAGTACCTCGGCCATCAAACCCGCATTCACGCATTGCTGACTGCAACACCAGTCCCACTTTGTATGAAGACGAGCCATTACCTCAATGGCGACGTGGTTCAGTCTTTGCACCTGAAGCAATTGACGCTCCAGAAGTGAATAGAGAGGGAGTGAGACATTCTGACTTCGCCACTCCACCGCCCCGACTGCCTCACGAATTGTCGACCTCCAGTATATCCAGCATCCTGGATAGCAGTATCGACTCATCAGGCAGCCGAACACTGTGTTCCTCTCCAGTGGCGGTAGATGATTCCCGCGCTCAGAAAGTCCAGGAACTACTTTCTAAGCGTCCTAAGGGCCTTCCTCGCCGGAATAGCAGAGGAGGTCACTATTATCCACATCTGCATCCTTCCCACGTGTCTCATCTAGAACAGCTTGTATTGACTGACGTTCCATCTCATGTACCCGCAAAGTCGCCGATTCTTGCGTCATTGATCCGTTTTATGACAGCCTGCTCGAACGAATCATTACTAGCTACGCTTCAGGCAGGATCAGATTACTCGCTTCCACCTGGTCAAGCTCGACTGCAAGCCGAACAAGAGAGTGCTCGGTCCTTATTTGCCTTGCGCCGGATTGTACTTGAAATTACGCCAACATCCCCAGCTCAGGGTCGCGCTAGGTTGACTCGATGGAGACCTACCAGCTACCAGGCTGGTACCTTGAGATCAAGTACTGGAGACCAGGACTCCGAAAACCTTTGGTCAGCAGCCGTTGATGACTTCAGCTTCTTCGGCGAGGAAGAGTGTGGCGTTCCAGATGGCTGTTCAGGAAAATACTTTCCCATGGCCGTTTTGAATGAAAAGGTCTCGTTGATACCAGAAGACGAAGACCCCAGGCTCTCTGGACCCCCGGAATCAAACGCCACTTCATCTCCAATATCAATCAGCTCAGGTCAGCAAATCACACCGCAAGCTAGATCGAGGACTATTTCGGTAGGCTCCGCATCTACCGCAAGAGATGGTCACCCGGAAGGCCCATCGACTACTACAGCGGGCATGAGAAGCTCTGCCATCGCAGAATCTCAAGTTGAAGTCTCGATGGTAGATCTTGTCGCCGAGCTGGCTGCCTTCCGACGCGCTAAAAAGATAGAGTATGAAGAAGGGGTAAGGCGCGATCGAAGGCGACGGGATATAGTGGGGACCATAGGCTCCTCTCATCTCTCTCCTACCACTACAATCTCCTCTTTTCAATCTCCTCCTTCCCCGAGCTTCTCTTCGTTAGCAGGGGCATCATCCTCTATGCAATCCATTCAACAGTTTGTGGAAGGCCACTGGAAAGGAGAAGTGAAGATAATACGAAATCCGACCCCCAAGGGACGCAGCGGGATTGTTGATATGTATGGGAACTATTTCGAGAAGGGTTATTTGTACCCTTGAGTCCGGGTAGACTGCATATATTGAGAGAACATGGCAAGTCTAGCATATTCTGATCAACACATGCAATACAGGGCCAAAGGCAGTAGCCAAAGCATTTACCCGAATGGAAACATTCAATATCGATGTCTTCCAAAGAGGAAGAGATGCGACTGCGTGGCTCCTTTGTCTGCGGGCCAATATCTGATGTATCTACAATATCTCCTGAGAGTCCCTTAAACTTTTGATAATCCGTTTTTTTTTCAAACCCCGTAACTGAATCCCGTTCATTGAAAAGTAAAGAAAAAGATGGTTTCATCAAGCACACATGATCAAGAGAAAAGCGTTACGCCGAGTAGGAATTGGCCCTTTTTCAAACTAATTCCATTTTTGTTCTCTTTCGAGGAAAAAAAGTGATTAATGATTCATTCCATTTCCTTTCCCTTAGTTGGCCTTAGCAGCCTGAGGGGGGCTCAGCTTCTTGCCGTCCTTGTTGTACCTGATGCGAGGAGGAGGGGCACGGTTGCGACGACCTTCCCGGGAGCGGACACTGGAAGTTAAGGTCAGCATCGAGCGACAGCCATGCTTGGAGGGGTCTCATTCGTACCGGACGATCTTGCCGTGAATAGCGCAGGAGACACAGTACTGCAGCTTGAGGTACATCTTGGGGACGGCGTAGTCAGTGAAGACGGAGGCGTCGGAGATATCACCTGCAGAGTAGATGTCAGTCGCGGGGCCCATGTCGCTTCATGTGTATCCGGCGGCCTATTGCTCAATTCCTGCGGCGGTCGAAAAGTCCACCAACTCGTCTCTCCGTTACTCAATACAGTCGATCCGGTCCAGCTCTTCCTCGAACAATAGGCGGCGCCGGTAGAACGAAAATGGGATTTTGCGGTGATTAGATCGGTGGAACGTACGGATGGCAGCGGACTCAACCATGTTGCGGATGGTGAATCTCTTGATGGCCTTGTCCTTGGGGGTGCAGCGCGCGCAGTTGGAGCAGCGCACGGGCTTGACGTGGCCGCGGCCGTTCTTGTTGCGACCGCTATAGGAGAGAAGCGTTAGTTTCTAACCCGTTGAACAGACTTGTAATGTATTATGTTTTTCCCCAAAAAGTGCCTTGGGAAATCCACTCCATCTTCATGTCTGTCGAACAAATCACGACCGATTAGACATATCCGCCGGGCCTCTTTCGAAATTGATTCGATTCGGAATGTGACTCTTCTTGTATCGTTCGAATTGTTGTTCAGGTCCCGGCGTATGTATGTGCGGATGCGTGCGATTTGACAGTCCAGAGCATGATTTCGGAGATTGGATATGTGGATTTTGAATATAGTTGTGTGGGAGCAAGCAAAATCAGGGTGGTTTATCGGTTGTTCTTACTTGTTCGCCCTCTTCTTGACCATCTTGACGGATTTTTCTGTGGCGGCGGGTCAGAGACTGGAAGTCAGGAAAAATCGGGGGGGGGGAGGAGGTTGAGCGCGTACTTGGTTGTCGGGGTTGGTTGTCGTCGTAAAGGCACCGGAGTCTCTCGCTCACTCGGGATGAGGTTGTGTCGGGTTTGTGTGGGAGCCCTATGCCCTTAAGCGAGGCGGGTCACGGGATTGAGACTTCCAGGATTTGTGCCTTGATGCCTTGGGATCTGCTGAGTGCCTGAGGTGTGAAAGTGTGGCTGATGTGGGGCGGTATCTTCACGCCTTAGGCAGTAACGTTTCCTCTCATGTGACCTGATTCGAAAGTGGCCTGACCGCCTTTGACGGAGCGAAGTTGGCAGATTCAGGCTGGGTCACGGGTTGGGTTGGGTGATCCGTTCATCACTGCAGCAGTTCATGAGTTCACGTGCTTTCGGCCTGATGAAATCGAGTCCCGACTCACATTCAATTTTCCCCTTGAATGGTTTAGTGGCAATGGCCGATCCATCATTACGGTACACTAATACGGTATTTTGTTTACTCCTGCGGATCTTGATGGCTTGGTGGATGGCATGCGTGGCGGAGGGTGGGTGGTTCTGTATGTATTGAAGTGGTCCCCATTGGGGGGGGAGAAAGATGCAGTCTCCGTCGTCCACTTCCCTCCCTGAGAGTTGAAACTGTCAATAACAAGTAAATAGTTTGGCCGAACTAGAACTAAGTTGGGAAACCTCCTTCGTCCCCAATTCCTATTCTTTCTCTCCCCCCCCCCACTCTCCCTACCTACCTCCCTCCCTCCCCTGGTTTGTACCGTATCTTTCTTGTGAATCAACTTCATCCTCAAATTTCTTCCTCGTTTTCACTCTCTGTTCCTTCTTGTCTTTGCGTGGTTGCATCTCTCTCTCCTCCCGTTTCGAGAAGACTAGTCACCCTCTCTCTATCTCCTTAAAGTCCCGGTTGTCTACAATCAGGCTGTTAACTAGGTAGTCTCCGCTTCTCTTTCTGAACCGGTTCGTCCAAACACAGACCGACTTTAAGTCAGCTCCGCCAGTCACCGACCGGGGACATGTCATCCACACCCACTTTTAAAGGAACCATCAACCACAAAACGGTCGGCAGAGGCAGGCTGCCCGACTTTCAAGACAGTCACATTCCTCGTCCTCGTCCGGACACCTCCTCCACTGTACACACCCCGCAGACCGCGTCCAGCGATATTGGAAGCAACACCATGAGTGCTGCCAGCAGTCGACAGCGTCAAAATCAGTCCAAGCGCGATGAGGTATGCTTGATTCTCCACTTGATTCTCTTCTTGAGGTTTTTTTCTTCTCTCTACTTCGCTGCACCGGTGATCAGTCGTAACATGGGTCGAAGTCTGAAGCCATCTCCATGGAGTTGCGAGAACATGAAAACATAAGGAAAATTTGCTTAAAGGGGGGTCATCCCAGCCTTGACTCAAGTCTAACTACTCCTTCAATCCAGGCGATTCGGCGAAAATTGGAGGCCGACCTCAACAAGAAGCGCCAACACACGACCAGAGCAAACCGTTCTCGCAAAGCTCCTCCCGGCACCGTTCTTGCTTTGAAACCCAGCCAAGCCCTGCAGATTAAGCCTAATACTACCATTGCCGAAGCCGCCCAGTTGATGGCCGCCAAGAGAGAAGACTGCGTACTGGTTACCGACGATGATGACCGTATCTCTGGTATCTTCACCGCGAAGGATCTCGCTTTCCGGGTGGTGGGAGCAGGCCACAAGGCGCGTGAAGTCACGGTGGCTGAGATCATGACCAAGAACCCTCTTTGCGCCAGGACCGACACAAGCGCCACCGATGCTCTCGATCTGATGGTGCGCAAGGGATTCCGCCATTTGCCCGTCATGGATGAGAATCAGGACATTTCCGGTGTGCTTGATATTACGAAATGCTTCTACGATGCGATGGAGAAACTGGAACGTGCCTACAGCTCTTCCCGCAAACTCTACGACGCCTTGGAAGGTGTCCAGACCGAACTCGGCTCCAGCCAGCCCCAGCAAATCATTCAGTACGTCGAAGCTTTGCGGCATAAGATGTCCGGCCCGACGCTGGAGTCTGTCCTAGATGGCATGCCCCCGACCACCGTCTCTGTCCGCACAACCGTCAAGGAAGCGGCTGCTTTGATGAAAGAGCACCACACCACCGCCCTTCTCGTACAGGACCAGGGCTCTATTACCGGCATCTTCACCAGCAAGGACATCGTACTGCGTGTCATTGCTCCGGGACTTGACCCCGCCACTTGCAGTGTTGTTCGCGTCATGACCCCTCACCCGGATTTTGCCCCCAGCGACATGAGTATCCAAGCTGCGCTTCGGAAAATGCACGGTATGTACACCAGCCTGAGATTATGTTAGAGAACAGGGCTAATAGCAGAGATATTTAGACGGACACTACCTGAACCTGCCTGTTATGAACGATGCAGGCGAGATTGTGGGTATGGTGGATGTGCTCAAGTTGACATATGCGACTCTGGAACAGGTCAGTTTGAACCCAAGCTTTCAATGGTCCTGAATCTAATATCCCAGCAGATCAATACCATGTCGTCACAAGACGATGAGGGTCCCGCATGGAACAAGTTCTGGCTCTCAATGGACCACGAGTCAGACTCAATGGTCTCAGGAAGCCAGCAGCCCGCTCAGCGGTCAGTGATCAGCCCCGAGTCACCCAAGGCTAGTTATGACACTCGGGACAGCGTTCTCCCCAACGAGTCTGCCTCCCACCACGGTGGGGATGAGCATTCGGAATACGCGGAGCCGCACCATGCGGAACACATCTCGTTTCCGTTCAAATTCAAAGCTCCCAGTGGACGAGTGCACCGCGTTAATGTTCTTCCTGCTGCCGGTGTCGCCGAGCTGGTCGCTCAAGTATCGGCCAAATTGGGTCCCGAGGTAGAGGCCGTCGGCGGTGCTCCAATCAGCGAAGACGGCAAGCTCAGCAACACGGGCTATGCTCTCAGTTATATGGACAACGAAGGCGACACCGTTTCAATCACCACAGATCAGGATCTGTCTGATGCTGTGAGTCTCGCGCGTCTGTCGCATAGAGACAAGGTCGATCTGTTCGTGCACGATCCTAGCCAGCCTCCAATTCCGGCTACGCTGGATCCTCAACCAGCTCCGACCCGTCCTGTCGAGGAGAAAAGTGTGATCTCTGAGGAACGAACCGAGGAGGAGGTGCTAGTGGCCAAGCCCCCCCGGGCTCAGTCCTTCCCTGCACACCACGCCGAGGAGCAGTTCATTGCCGGAGTTCCCAACGAGCTACTGTTGCCTGGAGCGATTGTGACCTTGGCCGCGGTGATTGCGGGTGTATTCATCCTAGGCCGGGCTACTTCTCGGTGAATTCCAAGGTCGTGGTTGCGTACGAAGATAGAAAGCTATATGTAATTATGTCTCTTTACTTTCCTGTTTGTCTAATGTTTGTCATAGCCCATCTCGTATCTGTGTAACTCTATTGGCGATCTTTCTGGAGATTTCTCTCCCTTCTTCTTTCTCTTCCCGGCTTGACCTCTCTCGGATTGAGGGTATTGTTTGGCGCGATGGTACCCTGGTCAAAGTGCGTAGTGTTAGATTCCCTGATTCACATCCGCATGGTGAAGTCTCTTTGGGCTGAGGTAGATCTCACGAGCGAATTGAAAGAACAAGTACAAAGACGAGAAGCGGCTTGGATTGCTGAGTGGACATTGTAATATCAACCAATGGAGGTAGTAAATAGTACTCATCTGCGCATAATTGGGCTGATGATCTGCCGATTGAATGCTGAGCTGGTTGCCTGGGATGCCTGAACTGATGCCTGAATGGGCAGATCAGTGCCTGGAGAATCTAGGCTTAGTCCGGACTAGGACTAGCTCGTTGGCAGTCCGCCGTATTGTAGTACTACCCTGTATTGTTTGCTCTTTTCGATTTTTACCACTGCATTAGTGGCTGAATTATCCCATTGGATACGGGACCAATACCAATTGTACACTTCCCCCCCCCCTCCCTCTCTCTTTCTTCACTTTAGTGACTTTACCCAACTAAACCTCTTTCTTGTCTCTCTTTCTCTAAGGCTTTCTTCCCCTTTCAACTTTCCCCTCCTCTCCCTCTTTTCTCTTCCTCCGTTGCTTGGTGTCCACCTGCCGTTTTCTGGATCGGCTGCAATGCTGAGTTGCGCTTTTCTTTTTTAAATATTCCAGAATCAATATTCAGTCCACGATCTTTGCTTGAAGGCTTCCGACCGCCTTCCCTCCAATCGACCTGTCACGAACTTTTTTTTCGCTGCCGCCCCCCCACCAAAAACAATATTTCCCAGAGAGCCTAAACAACCTCCTTCCTTCCCACCTTAACCCACCCTCAACCCGACACCACACAACCCCCCGGGTTCAAGCGCTGAATCCGCGTTCTTCTATACTTCAATCTAAGCAGTTTTGGCGGGTTAACTGTCTAGATTGATTGAATCCAGTCCGTTAAAATGTCATTGCTCCCTCCCGAGGTCCACTCGGCTCTCTCGCAGCTGTTGCGCGCCCTCTCTACCCCCGACAATGCGGTCCGTACCCAGGCGGAAGAACAGTTGAACAATGATTGGATTCAGAACCGCCCTGATGTTCTGCTGATGGGCTTAGCGGAGCAGATTCA